TTACTTTAAACTGTTTTAGATAGATAACTGCTATTTCATTAAGGTCTTTTTCTGAGGTTGTGTTTTGTTCTTTCATTTAGATTATATTTCTCTGTTTCCTCATTTTGTCTCTTTGTTTGTGTCTATGCATTAGGCAAATGGCTACCTGTCCTAGTCTTAAAGGGGTGGCTTTGTGTAAGAGATGTCCTGGGGGGTCCAGAAGTGCAAATCCCTCCTGATTGCCAGAGCCACATGCTCATGGGTCATTTTTTTGTGTAAGCTGTGTATGCCTCCCTATTATGGGACTCTGCAGTGAGTGAGGCTCTCAGTGGAACACTGCCAGCATTAGCAGATTAGATTGAGAGTTTGAAGATGTCGCCTGCAAGTATCGGCACTAGCAAAGTAGAATGTGGTCTCTAAAATGTCACCCAATACTGTTTCCATCTCTAAAGTATATCTCAGCAGCTGCTTGCCTCTGTGGCAGACACCCCAGGACTAGTGTAGTGAGTGGACACCTTTACCTATGGTTTGGGTACTTTTCCAACTTGCATTTTATCACTGAGTCCTGAGACCAGTGAGTCCTTTAAGAATAGGTATTCTGTTGCCTGTAGCTCTATTGTTTTCCTGGATATAATCTGTTTTCAAAGTCTGGTGTTTTGGGGGCTCATCTCTTTTGTGCAGGATGTAAGGGTTGGAGTTCCTGGTGTTGAGTTCCAACCCTTTACTCCTCAGGGAGAAATTCCATTTTTGAGATTCTTTCCTAACTGCATTGCCATGCCTGGTGTGCCAGGTGTCGGCCTCTGCCACTCCTACTCCTCTTGATGCTGCCTCTTAGTTCCTTCTTGTGGAGTCTCTGTTCATTCAGTTTTCAGGGCTTTTTCTGAGGAGATTATTCCTCATGTAGCTATCTATTTGTTTTGACCACAGGAGGAAGTGAATTCAGGATCCTCTTATGCCACTGTCAGAACCCTTTTCTGAGAAAAAAATTTTTAGCATAGTAATAGAATAGCTGTAAGGCAGAGTTGTAGACTGTCATTCATGTATTTTCTTTTAATAAACATTTACTCAGCACCTCTATGTATCAGGCATTATGATATACCTGGTTCTGGATGAATATTTAAGTACCCTATATGATCAGATATAGAATATTTTTAGAAGATTCTTATATCCATGATACTAATCAGCTTCTCAGATGGGGTAAGCCTGTTTGTATTCTCCACGTGCATCAGGTTAAACTTGAGGGGTGTGTGTGTGTGTGTGTGTGTGTGTGTGTGTCTGTCTGTCCAGGTCATTGGAGTGACTGTTGTATGCAAGGAACCCAGATACTCTAAGAGCTATGAGTTACTAAAGAAGTAGTAGATGACATGATTGGGGATCTCAAGAAATGGAATAAAGTTCAGTTGTTTGGGAAGTAACAATTCTTTTGGCCTCTGAAACTGAGTAGGGCTGGTTTATGTATTGGGTCTCCAGTTTAACCTGATTGAATTTTTTTTAAGATTATTTATTTAAGGACCCCTGGGTGGCTCAGTGGTTGAGCATCTGCCTTCTGCTCAGGGCATGATACCAGGTCTGGGGATCAAATCCCAAATCCGGCTTCTTCATCCTCTGCCTGTATCTCTCCCTTCTGTGTCTCTCATGAGTAAGTAAAATCTTTAAAAATTATCTACTTAAAAAAATAATAAAGATTATTTATTTGAGAGAAAGCACAAGTGGGGGTGTGGTGGAGGACCAGAGGGAAAGAGAGGCAGGAGCCCTAGGCTTGATCCCAAGGACCCCAAGATCGTGACCTGAGCTGAAGACAGATACTTAATTGACTGAGCCACCCAGGTGCTTCTTAACCTGATAGAATTTCAATGAGAAAAAGGAATTTGAGAATATAAGGAAAGTTGTGAAATGTAGTGCATTAAAAATGTCTTAAAGTAGTAACTTAGGATGTTTTTACTATTGATCTTAAATTTATACAGAAATCCAAAATGAGTTTTGGTACGTGGTTTTCTTTGAACATTCAGAATGGAGTGGATGTATGGACATGTTGACTCTTTACTAGCCTTAAAACTTAGGGAGTTTGAGAAAATACACCTTTAGGAAATACCTTAATATTTATCTTCTCATCTTCATCTTTTTTCATCATGTTTTAGGTCAAGGAGGTTGTATTTTATTCTTTATTCCTTAGTCTGGATGATGTCTAAAAATTCTTATAGGCTATTTTTAGGGCAGTTTTGTCCTTTCATTTGATCCTGTTCAATTGATTATATGAATACATGCAATTGTACCCTGAGTTTCCCTATTAAATTGAATATATCGTTATCATTTACCCCCCCCATTTCATGTATCTGAGATTGTTGAATGACTTATAAAATATTGTTCTACAGCATTTAAACTCTTTGCAGAATATTTTATCATATAGGTATATTCTATTGATATTGAGATTTTCTTTAATCTTGTCTTACCCTTTAATGAAATCTTCAGCAGCTAAATTTTGTTCATGTCTGTGATATATTCCTAAAATGGAATTTCTTCATGAAATAATATGTGTAAAAAAAAAGAAATAATATGTGTAAATAGATTTTTATGTTTTCGATGCATACTTCAGATGCAACTCTAGAGAGTTGCCCTTCAGAAAGATTATAAATGTTAGTATAGTTAATCTGATTTATTATTTTGCTAGTATTGAGCTAGGAGTGAGTATAATTTTATAGTTTGGTTTTTTCACTGATTGTATTGTGATCATTATCTCATACCTCTAAAAGTTTTATTTTAATCTTTATAAAATTATTTTTAATTTTTTTGAGATAAAATTCACCATCTTAAAGTATACCATTCATTGGTTTTTAGTATTCACTATATTTTTGTAACCATTACTACTGACTAGTAAAGTTCCAGAACCTTTCTTTCACCCTAAAAAGAAACATGTGCCCATCAGCAGTCATTCCCAGTACTACCTACCTCCTTTCTCTGGCAGCTACCATGATCTCTTTCTGTCTTTTTGGCTATTTTGACAGTTCATGTAAGTGTAATCATACAATATGTGGCTTTTTTATGTCTGGCTTCTTAGCCTAAGGCTTTCAAGCTTCATCCATTGTTTTTGATATAATCTTTTCAGTATCCCTTTTATGCCTGCATTATATTTTATCCTATAATGATACCATAATTTCTTTAGACATTTCTTCCTGTGTTAACAACCACTAGGAATATTAATATATGTATTTTTTATTTATACATTTCAAAGTGTATTATGGTGGATTCCTAAGTGGAAATTTGCTGTGTCAAAGGTTATGACTCTTAATGGTCTTGATTCCCATGGCCAAATTGTTTTCTGCAAAGTTTTTATGAATTTAAACTTCTACCAGGAGGGTAAATAAAATTCTGTCCTCACTTTAGCTTCCTTAATATTTAGAATATTAACAATTTTATTGCTAACTTGATGGTTAAAAAAGACTAAATTGTTTTAAGTTGTATATTTCCATTATTGGTAAAATTCAGCTTTTTTTCATAGGCTTATTAGTCATTTGAATTTCCTCTTGTTTTGAAATTTCTTTTTGTCTTTTTTTCATCTTAGGGTCTTCCTGTTTTCCTTTTCATTGAGCTTTTTATATATCAAGGAAGTTATCAAGTTGCTTTTATTTGTAGAAACTATTTTCACCCGTTTTTAAAATTTTGTTTTATGTTTTTGATATATGGAAATTTTTATCTTTATAGTTGAAATTTTCAATTTAAAATAAAACCTTAAACAGTGAACTCTATTATGCCTTATTATTGTTCATTTTCTTATAAATAGCCGTTTATTCCAACATCATTTAAAAATTAATACATCCAAAAAAAATTAATACATCCTTTTTTTTTTTTTTTTTACTCCCCACCTCCATTTCTCACTGGTGTTTGCTATTATCATGTATTGCATTCATATTCTTAGGAAGCTCTGAATCTTTTTTTTTTTTAAGATTTTATTTATTTATTCATAGAGACACAGCTAGAGAGAGAGGCAGAGACACAGGCAGAGGGAGTAGCAGGCACCATGCAGGGAGCCCCATGTGGGACTGGATCCCAGGTCTCCAGGATCACGCCCTGGGCTGCAGGTGGCGCTAAACCGCTGCGCCACCAGGGCTACCTGAAGCTCTGAATCTTAATTGCCTATTTTGTTTCATTAGTATATTTTTTCCTCCAAGTTCCATTTAATTAGACTGAAATAGGATAGTATATCATTATCTGTACATGTGCCTAGAGGTCAACTAGACTTTTATTAGTAGGTAGGCAAAACTGGGACTCTGTGTATTTGGGGAAACTATTTAAACTTTCCAGGTCTCATTTCTTTATCTTCCAAAGGAGATGATAAAAGCAACCACTCTAAAAAAGATGTTCTAAGGATTAAAGAACTGATTAAATGGATAGTGTCCTGGCACATTTAATAAGTACTTAAGGAATGTTAGCTGTTAAAACAGTGATGATGATTTCATATTACATAGTAATATCTGGTAGAACTCTCTTCAAAATTCTTTTAGTCAAAATTACATATTTAGCTTCTGGATTAACTTTAGATTCCTTTTTTTTCCCCCTTTACTCCATCTCCTCAAAAACCATTCCAGTAGGATTAAAATAAATCTGTAAATTAATTTGGGGGAAAAATGACAATACTACATGTCCCTATCCAGAAACTTGGCATTTCTCTTGATTCCTTCAAATTTTCCTTTTGTTTTTATAGGATTTACTAATAATGTTTCCTTCTTAAAGGTCCTATATGTATTTTTGGTTAAAGCTGTTTTTAGATATTTTATTAGCTAATATTGATGGAATCTTTTTGTATTATTTTAAATGACTTGTTATTGGTAGTTATGTATTCTTTTGGCATCTGTTGGTCTCTTTTTTTCATTCTGCATACAAATGATGAGATATTTAAATGTTTTGCTCTTTTCTGTTTCTTTGCTTATACATTATCTTTTTTTTCTTTCTGAAGATTATGATTGCCATTGTTCTTTTATTGAAATGTTCTTTGGCTCCTTTAACCCCTAACTTTTGTTATTTAGGTAAAAACAGATGACATAGCAAGAATTTACCAGCCTAAGCGTTATGCTTTATCGCCCAAGACAACAATTACACTGGCACATTTACTTGCTGCACGTGAAGATCTGTCTAAGATCATTAGAACAAGTAGTGGCTCCAGCCGAGAGAAGACAGTGTGTGCCATTAATAAGGTTGGTTTTTCTTTCAGTACAGTGGAGAAAGAATTTATAATCTCTTCATTTGATGTTTTTATAGATTTTAATCCATTTTTCTCTTACAATCCGGTAAACTAGAAAAGAGAGTGGTGAAAGTATTTCAGTTCATCCAGGCTGTTATGTTTTGTGTGTGTGTGTGTGTGTGTGTGTGTGTGTGTGTGTTTATTTGAATTTGTGTATTCATAAATCAAACCACAGTTTTATTTGAATTAGAGGAATTAAGAATTTTTTTTTATCAGTAGCTTTAGCAAGAATTATTTGCCTTCTTTCCAGGAATATATTTAATTTTTGTCAGTAAAATCCTGTGGTAGTTGTTTCAAGTAGTGACAAATTCCTTATATCCTTGGTTGGAGACCTGTAGATCTGGATTCACATCCTAGCTCTATCATTTACATGGACGAATCACCTCGGGCAAGTTTACTGAATCTTTTGGATATTCCATTTTCTGATTAAGAGTATGGATTCATTTCTCCCACACTGCTTTTAATTAAGCTCAGAGACTGAATCTTTTACAATAGCAATAGCAGTAATTTAGATTTATCAGTTTTACTGGCGTGTGTTCTATATTTAGAGCACTTTATGACAGACTTTATCACAAAAGAGCAAAAAGTCAGAAGAGATTTTGGCAATTTTAAAACATTGTTACTCACTCATGAAAACAGTGTCCTTGATACAGTCAGTATATCTTGGTAGAGGGATGATTGTACATAAAGTCAACTTGTTAATTATTGCTGTTAGTCACCAGTGTTTGTTCCTTCCTCTTCCATTTTAGATCAACCTCCTCTATCTTTGGAAAGTATTCTGTCTAAAAATACATTATTTAGTATCTTATATCAGGTTATGATCTGGTCTTGCCAGATTAAGAGTTCTACTTTTTAAAATGATATTGCCTATCTCTTTTCAAATTTATAACGTATAATCTCTTTGAAAGCAGTCTTAATCAGTTCTTGGAGTAGCAGCATAGCATATTTATTTGGTGGAGAGGCCAATGAAAATAAAAACCAAAAAGGCTGCTTTTTGCATTTGGTAATTAGGACATTATTGGTGACTTTAAAAGAATGTTTGCATTCTTCAAACACTGCCCCACAGTAAGGAGGATATTGTACTTTTTGTCTTTAATTTATGATGTAAATTACTAAAACATGGTTTTGATTAGAGGATCAATGGAAGTAGAACCCATCTGATTTGTAGGTCATTTTTGTTGTGGCAGTTACCTTCTTTCCTGAAAGAGACTAGCAGGAAGCTAGTCTCCTAGCATCCTTCCTCACCATTGTCTGTGTTTATGGATATATATAAAGTAGCTCCTTTCTACAGCAGGCTGGGGACTTAAACTCCTCCTTGGCTTATCCTTCAAGTATTGTAAAGCATGGTAAAGAGAGCCTATCAAGACTTTATTTTTTGTACAATTATATAGTATCATTACTGAATGCTAGTGGGCTTAAGTTTCGTAAGAAAGGAATAGTTCATTGAGAATCCTTGTATCTCTAGAGTGATACCATGGATTATAATCATTATATTCATCTTTAACATCTCATATCCAAGTGTTACCATATATACTTCATACTTTGTTAAAATAGCACATGTTTAGAAATATAGTCTTTTATTGGATAATCCATGACCAAATGAATGGTAATGGGAAGTCTAGAGTTGTATAAATAGATACAAAGTTAATGAATATAGTTTATGTATACTGAAAATGTTCTGCTAAAAATATTTTAGTATGGTGAGTACTGCATTTGTTACAGAATTTGGTAAACAAATTTAAACAAGAGAAAATTAATAAGCCCTTAAGTCTCAGTAATATTCCCCATATTGTTTTAAAATAATTCCATGTTGTGAGGAATTTGTCATACAACACATTTATATTTTCAGTATTAATTTGTATTGCATGTCTCATACTTTCATGTCCTTAAATATTTGGCTTCGATTTCTTTATTAGAACAGTAAGTTCAATATCAGTTGAATTCTTTATGTAAATTGTAATTTCTAAATATATTAGAAACTGAAAGACAGTGTTTCTTCACACAGGTGCTGATGGGAAGGGTGCCTGACCGAGGAGGACGGCCAAATGAAATTGAACCACCACCCCCTGAAATGCCCCCTTGGCAAAAGAGACAAGAAGGGGGCGGAAGGGGTGGTTGGGGTGGTGGGGGTGGTCGAGGAGGTGGTGGGGGTGGAAGAGGTGGCTGGGGAGGTGGGGGAGGTTGGGGAGGTGGTGGTGGTAGTAGTGGAGGAGGAGGAGGAGGAGGAGGGTGGGGAGGAAGTGGGGGAGGGGGAGGTAGAGGAGGAGGTTTTCAAGGCAGAGGAGATTATGGTGGGAGGGGAGATTATGGTGGAAGAGGAGGGGGCTATGGTGGAAGAGGAGGCTATGGTGGAAGGGGTTATGGAGATCCATATGGAGGAGGTGGTGGTGGATATAGAAGATATTAAAAACTACCAAAATTAGATAGCAGTGCTTACTTCTTGGCAGAGACATTAGGTGTAGTGTTGTAAATAACATACTTGGAATGTCATCTTTGAAGTAAACACCATGTTAGATTCCCTGATACCATTCTTGAATTGGGTTAATATGTGAGAACATTGTTTTATACTACCATTTGATCTCTTAGGCAAAGTGATGATTTTTCCATATTCTGTGTATCCTTGAGCATGTCTTTTTAAAACAAAAAATGAGCAAAAATTATTTTTAAAAATGTAAATATTTATTACCATCAGACTTGGAAAATGGAAAGTATTTTATTGCCATGATTGAATTTAGATTGTTACCTGTATTTTATTCAGGTTTGAAACACATAAATTATCCCACTTGTTATGGAAAGGAATATAGACTATTGTCTCATCTGTATTCCTGTGGCTGTGTTTTGTATTTGATAATTATATTTCATGAAATAGGGAACGGAACTGATCTGATAGGTAGTTGTCATGACTTGTTTTTTTATAGGAGGCAATTCCTCTGACCAGGATTCTGTTAAAGTTCATTAATTGAAGCTCAAGCCTATTTTTTGCTATGTATATTTGATTTATTTTCCAAGTGGATTTGAAATCTGATTTTGTTTAACAAAGCAAAATTAAAGAATGAGGTCAGAATTACTCTAAAGGGATGAGGACAAATAATAATTTTACATGGTGATGTGAAAAATACTCATTTAAACTGGTCTCTTCATCATTTGTGCCATCACTTTAGGTGTTTGGATATCAAAAAGCAGATTAAGCTGTATTGCCCAGGATTAGGACAGTAATTTCCATTTTCAGTCCATCGGAGGTAGAATTGGGGCATCCCTTGGAAATTCTGATTCATAGCTAGATTTTGGAAACAGGGAATGTAGTTGGTGGTTGGAGGAAGTAAAGGTTTGGGATAGAGTTGTGAATTTGAATCATGGCACTAGCCCAGAGGTGCTGTGGGCTGAAATGACCATAGCTCTCAAGGATTGATTTGTCCTCATTTATCAAATGAGGAATATGACACTTGCACTCTTCTCAGATTGTTTCATAAAGATCTAACTACAAGTGCAATTTATTGAGGGCTTGTTGTGAATGGTTTAAGAAGTGGGCTAAGTAATGCATTTTCCTCTTAGTATAGAGAGTTAGATAAGAGAGTCACATATATTTTTTCATTCCCACTGTAAAATGTGTATCCTAGTGTGGGCTCCTGGTTGACACCTGTACGTAACAACTTTCTGTGATCTAGCAAATTCAGCAGATAGAAAGCTGATTATCAGTGGACACACTGTATTTGATATTTGGCAGTTTCATTGTTGTTGTGTTGTTTGCTTTACAGTAAACCCTGAACTGAAATCTAAAACAATGTTAAAACTTTAAAAGTAAATATTGTGTATACTGCAGTCTTTGCCATGTAGTTTTCAAGTAACTCTTCAAAGAAGTTTGTTCAGGATAGGGAAACATACTTTAGGTTATTTGTAAAATAGAATTTAAAAATGTGTTTATATTTAATGAAGATACTTAATTTCATTTGTGATAGTTGGGAAAAAAGGCTTTCCATAATTAAAACATTTTTTTCAATAGCTATGAACTCTGAAAAATAAATAATTTCTAAAAATATGTAATCAAAGACTACTGGAGTATAGTTGCTGACTTAGAAGGGGTTTACAACTACCTTCAACTTTTACCACTAAAGGTTTATGGCAAACAATGGCAGAAACATTAATTTGTCCATTTCTGTAAGATTTCCTTGTATTTTCATAGGAGTGCTGTTGAGTATTGTGCTCACTTTAAATCTTTTTATTTATTTATTCATGAGGCACACACACACAGGGAGGCAGAAACACAGGCAGAGGGAGAAGCAGGCTCCTTGCAGGGAGCCCGATTGTGGGACTTGATCCCAGGACCCTGGGATCATGACCTGAGCCGAAGGCAGACGCTCAGCCACTGAGCCACCCAAGGTGCCCCTGCTCACTTTAAATCTTGTCCAGTTTTATCACTGGCTCCTGGAATCACTTCTATTTACACATTCTTATAAATTTCACTTGAATGAAAAGCAGGATGATTTAGACCCTAACATCTTATTCTTCCCTGGAAGGTAGAATTTTCATGATACTCTTTTTTTAAGTAAAAATATCTTTGGTAGAAGAGTGTGCTGAGCAATATCTAGACTAGCAGTAGGCAGTGTGGGGTTTTGGTATCAATAGCCATAATTTGAAAATGTGTTATAAATTGATTGTGGTACAAATGTAGAGTATGATGAATGGTACTTCACTGCTTCCTACAGTCTAAACCTTTTTATGGACCTCCTCTTCATTCCTTTTTGCCTGGTTCTCAATTTCATTTTTCCCTATTACCTCATTTATCCTCCCCCCGCCCCTTTTTTTCTTCCCTGCCTTGGTCTAGTCTTTGGTATCTTATAGCATCTAAACACACTGAGAGATTCTGGATTAAAGTAAGGAATCTCTCATCTGTACCACGTAAAGAATATGTATCCCCATCCATTTTATGTCAAAAGAAGGTACAATAACCCAGAAAAGATGAGTGACCAGGGAATGTTCTGAGCAACGAGACTATATATGCCTTATAAGGACACACAGTAGAGAAACGGGGGATGGAAGAAAGGAGGCAGTTTAATCTCTTCAGAATCAGGTTGTCAATGTGACTTATTTTGTAAGAAGTGTTAAGAATTGCCAAAATGATAAATATACCCACATCCAAATATAACAGAATGCATCCTGTAGTGGAATTTACCCCACTATTCATTGGTCTGGTTAAACAAAAGTTGGCTGGCAGTTAAGGGAAAGTCTTGACCATCTCTTAATCACTCTAATCATGAACACAAATGAATTGCTCTGGGGGGGTGGGGTCTATATTAGAACTATCCTCTACCAATTTCATGCACAACTCCAAAGTTGTTCTTTACTTGCTAGTTTTCTTAGAACTATGGAATTAAAGACAAAAGCCACAGAGAAATGACCACCTCAAATCTATCTCCTTCATTGTTAAGTATTTATAGACAGTATTTGGGGACCCCTGTAAGTCCTTATGCAATAAGATCGGAAAAGGTTGAATATTTCTGTACTGTTACTTCAAGTTATAAAAAGGTTTAGAAAAACTTACACCGAGTAATTTTTTCCTTTTCCTTCCAGGAAAACCAAGTTAATAGAATAGGGGGAGTGGTGTCAGCTGTGGATTGTAGTAAAAATTCAAGAGAAGCTTCTACATATTCATAACTAGAAGAAACAACACAGCTATGTGGCAGGGATCTGAATTTTTTTTATCATACAAATATTACACAAAGAAAACTTACATTAGATATCAAAAAAAAAAACCCTTTACAATCTGTACACTTGTTTTTTCCTTGCAGTTCTTTTACATTATACATCCTTTAAACAGAAATTCACAAATGGTCAGTAAAAAGGCAAGTTAATTACCAAAGAAAATGAGAAATGACGTTGCTGTTGACAAAACAAGATTTGTCCTTGTTTTGACAGATAAATAGGTGCTCAGAGTCTAGGCTTGCTTGACAAACCAAAAGTTTCCAGAAATATTATTTCTATAGATTCTAATCCCATGTAGTTCAGTGCAAATAATATTATTTAACATACTATTCTTCTTTGGCCCTTGCTGGACTGTAAAAACTTCTAACAAAACTGCTTCCTATCCATTTCAGTGATAAGTTCTGGAATGCTTGAGACCCTCCAGCCATATTGCTTTGACTGATTAAGGAGCTCTAACCTTTGGAATTCTAGGATTACAGATTATGTACACAAGAATTAACTTGGGATCTCTATTTCGGAGGGAGGGAAGGAGAATGAAAAAATTCGTGTTATGTGACTACGCTTATGAAGAAATTGAGCTGTACCACCTTTGGTCTATATCAGAGGGAAAGAATAATAATGAAGAATGTGAATTTTAAAGATTATCAGAAATTAATGTTTGTTACTTACATTATATGGACAAAGTGCTTCACCTGGTGATGGACCAAAGCAGCCTGCTATGGAGATTTCTGAGTTTGGAATTAGGGTAAATTTTTGTGTAAAGCAATTCTTTAAAACACTAACGGAAAGCTACTTACTAGCTTTGTCACTAACAGTACAAGGAGGTGTGCAAATAGGAACTGGTCTTCATCAAAGAAACTTCTTAAATGGTCTGAATCCTCCAAGGAAGTTACACTTTATATATACTTTGTATTCTGATTAAGATTTGGTATTGCTGGCTTTAGGTTTTGAACTTTAATTGTGGAGATTATGTTCTTAGCAATTGGTCAATTTGTGTATGAATTTCAGATCTGCTTGGTACCAAGCTTTCTAAGCATAGAAGGTAAATTCCCCTCAAAAAGAAAATTTCAAGAACTTTTTAGAGAAATCAAGAGTCTGATAAATTTTACAGATCGAGAGTTTGTAAACAGTTGCCCAGACAACTAAATGAGCCCATTTATCATTAACTTTCATTAATAGAAAACTCATAGGACTCGTAATTGTGATTTTGCTAAATAGTACAGTTTACATCGTAAGCAATTTATCTTGTAACAAACTGAGCTTTATATTTGTGGATTTGTGTAAATGACAGAGTTGTTTAATTCACTTTCACATTTTATGAAGGAGGAAACAAAATTCCAAGTCACATGCATACTTGATATTGTATATACATGATATATACACATATATACACTCTCAGGTCTTATTGAAGCCTCTGATCCAGTTAGCTTATTTCTAAATAATATTAATAGTGAAGACAGTATAGCACAAATTCAGTTCAAAATAGTTACTTCAAAAAAAAAAGGATAAAGATGGCACATGAAAAGTTAAATAGACTCTTATCAAAAAGCCATAAATTCCTAATTCTATCCAATATAGATATAGAAGGACAAACATCATGTTTGTAGTTTTTTTTTTTTTTTAAGGTACCTGGCCATTTGTGTATGAGGTGGTATTAGCTATGTTTCCAGATATTTCATTTGCCTACTTAACAGCGGTAAGACTAAAACTGAGTTGACCTGTAATTAGATAATGTCTTGGTCACTTACCCCGCGCCCCCTCCCCCATTCTGTGGCTTCATCTTCAGAAGTTTATTCCTAGGGTAGATATCCTCATGTGAATATGAGCCTAGTGAGGAAGGAGTGGGGAAAAATGTAACTGATGAGATCTGAGGTAGTGAAGTGGGAACCAGATTCGAAAAGAAGGCTGGAAGATAGAGGAAGTAAATCTATTTTTAGAATATATCTTTCCATTGTGAGCAAGCTTTGGATGGAACAAAACAAACCCCTCAGTTCACAGAAAACCCACAGAAGGAAGCAAATAGACTTTCCAGTGATTTTAGTTCTAAGGAAGAAGTAGCTACACAGGCCCCATAGGAGAACCAACCTTGTCGGAAATCTGTAGTCATGTTTTTATCAAGCTGTTGGTGTTATTCCCGGGGGGAAGAAAAAGTCTGGTATGAATGGGAAAGATTTTTGCATTCTGTAGCTTTCCTACCCTTTGATTCAACTGACTAGGAGTCTTTCAAGTAAAAAAAAAAAAAGAAAAAAGAAAAAAATAACTTTAACTTGCTTTTCTTTTTTAAAGTACCCTTTTTAAATAGCTGGACACTCAAAGATTCCCCAGGGGTTTGTGTTACTGGTTTTATTTAAGAGACCTCTGACTTGACACATTGTACTCCTTCAGTTTCTGGGCTAAGAACAGTCACCTTGTTCCATCTAAGACATGATTGCTTCTTGCAAGTTGGAGGGTTTCTATTTTCTTCTGTGCATATTTCAGTTGGATCTTCAGAGCATCATTATCTGCTTTCAGGGTATTTATTTCCTAAAGGGAAAGGAGAATGAGGCATGTTAATAAAGCAGCAATGAATAGCAAATCAGTTACAACATTGGAAGTACTACACTTGATTGGCATTTTCTATTCACTGTGGCTGAGAATTAAAAACTATTTTCAAGACAGTTATTTTGCTCTGAATAGAAAATAACAAGTTAAATACCAAGTAAGCATGTGCAAACAGCAATTAGTTTTTGTTATTGAATTAAAGGTGGCTAGCAGGTGGAATAAACCATTCCCAGACAAGACGTGGATAATAAAACCTTCGGATGCTGCAATAGTGGGAGATCTAAACTTAGCAGAAATAGAGTCTCTGGTTAGGTCTGAGGTATGAAAACAGTGACTACTGTCATACAAAATATTATAGTTTATTTAAGTTTTTTTTTCCCCAAATCACTGAAAACTAATGGACTCCTTTGATAAAGAATTTTATTCTACCCCCTAAACTGGGATTTAATTATCCAATTCTCTGTGGCAGTTGATTTCCAGTCTTCTGAGTTTTAAAAATTGAATTATTTTTGACCTATGACATTGTATAAATTTAAGGTGTACAACATGTTAATTTGATAGGTTGTAATACTGCCATTATAAAGACAATCAGTACCTTTCATTACAGTATTATCCTTTTTAATAACGAATAATTTAAGTTCTGGACTCAGCAGGTTTGAGGATTATAGTACAGGATTATTGTCTATTCATTGTACTATGCATTATATCTTTTAGGCTTATTTACCAGTTGTTTTAAGTTTGTACCCTTAAACACCATCTGTACCCCCCATTCTTCCCTGGTTCCCAGGTTCCCCTGGTAACCACCATTTTAATCTGGTTTTACAACTGTGGCTTTTTAAAATTCCATGTATAAGTGATGTTATACAATACTTATCACTTCTCTACTTAGCATAATGTGCTCAAGGCCCATCCATGTTGCTGCAAATTCCCTTCTCATGGCTGAATGATACTCCACGGTATGGACATTTTTCCTGTGGTATGGACATTGATGAGGTATGGACACTTAGGTTGTTTTGTCTCTTGGCTATTATAAATAATGCAGTAAACATGAGGGTGTATGTATCTTTTTGTGTTAGTATTTAGTTAGTATTTTTGTGTTCTTCAGATAAGTACCCAGAAGTGAAATTGCTGGATAATATGATAGGAACCTCCACACTGTGTTCCATAGTGGCTGCTCTAATTTACATTCTCAGCAACAGGTCAAGAGGGTTCTCTTCAGCACATCTTTGCAAGCACTTGGTATTTTGTTTTCTTGATGGTAGTCATTCTAACAAGTGTGACTTGATAGCTTGTGTTTTGATTTACATTTCCTTGATGATGGGTGATATTGAGCATCTTTTTATGTACTTCTTGGCCATTTGTATGTATTCTTTAGAAAATGTCTCTTTGGTTCTTCTAAACTAAACTGTTGTTATTGGGTTGTGTGAATTCTTTATATAAATTGAATATCAACCCTTTATCAAGTTAATGGTTTGCAAAAATTTTCTCCCATTCTCTATTGCCTTTTCATTTTGTTAATGCTTTTGCTCTGCAAAAGCTTTTAAGTTTGAGGTAGTGTCTGTTTGTTGAAGAGACAGACTATCCTTTTCCCCCTTAGGTGCTCTTGGTGCCCTTATTAAATATTAACTCGCTGTATACGCAAGGTGTAATTCTGGGCTCTCCTTATTCTTCCGTTCGTCTGTGTTAGTTTTTATGCCAGTACTGTACTGATTTTATTACTGTAGCTTTGAGTATAGTTTGAAGTCAGGAAGTATGATATCTCCAGCTTTGTTCTTTCGTAGTTCCATACAAATTTTAGAATTGTTTTTTTCTATTTCTGTGAAGAAGGCCATTGGTATTTTAGTAGTGATTGCATTAAATCTGTAGATGGTTTTGGGTAGTATGGACATTTTAATAGTTCTTCTGATCATGAACATGGGATATCTTCCCATTTGTGTCTTCAGTTTCTTTCAGCAAAGTCTTGTTTTCGGCTCTTACACTTCCTTGGTTAAATGTATTCTGAAGTATTTCATTGCTTTTGGTGCTATTGTGAATAGGATAGTTCTCTTTTTTCCAATATTTCATCCTTAGCATGTAGAAATGCAGCTGATTTCTGTATGTTGATTTCGTAGCCTGCAATTATACTAAAATTTTTGATTAGTTCAGTTTTTCAGTTGTTTTGGTAATTTTATATATACAGACCCATATCGTCTGCAAATAGTGAGTGATACTTTTACCTCTTTCCTGATTTGGATGCTGTTTATTTCTTTGTCTTGCTTAATTGCTTTAGCTAAGATTTCTAGGAGTATGTTGGATAAGAGTGGTGAGAGTCCGCCTCCTTGTGGCTTGTTTCTGATCTTAGAGAAAAAGCTTTAACTTTTTTTTCACTAGTATGTTAGTTAACGGGTTTATCATTTTGGGCTCTTCCTATGTGGAGATATGTTCCTTCTATACCTAGTATGCCTTTTTATTTATTTATTTTAAATCATGAAAGGGTGTTGTACTTTGTCAAATGCCTTTTCTGCCTCTGTGATTTCTTTTTATCTTTCATTTTACTAATGTGATAAATTACATTTATTAATTTGTGTATGTTGACCTGTGCTTGTTGCATCCAAGGGATAAATTCCAGTTGGTCTTGGTGTAAAATCCTTTTTATGTGTTCCTGAATTTACTTTGATAATATATTGTCGAAAATGCTTGCATTTGTATTCATTAGCAACATTGGTCTATAGTTTTGTTGTGTCCTAATCTGGCTCTGGTATCAGGGTAATAATGTTCTTCTCATTGAATAATTTTGTAAGTATTCTCTCAATTTTTGGAGGATTTTGAGAAGAATTTGTGTTAATTCTTTGAATGTTCAGATTTCACCAGTGAAGCCCAGTGTTGGGTGCATATATATTATTAGAACTGTTATAGCTTGTTGATGTATTGATTATCTTATGACCTTTGTTTCTTGTTATTTTTTGCATGAAGTCTATTTTGTTTGATATAAGTATGGCTAGGCCCCGTTTTTCTCTTGGTTTCTATTTGCATGGAATATCCTCTTCCATCTGTTTACTTTGAGCCAATATGTGACTCGTTAGAGCTGAAATGAGTTTCCTGTGGGCAGCATAGAATTGGGTCTTATTTTTTTTTATCTAGCCAGGCTGTGCCTCTTGGTTGGTGAAACCAATCAATTTATAGAGTGACTGTTGTTATGTAAGGACTTACTACAGCCATTTTATTTGCCTTCTGGTTGTTTTGTATCTCCATTTTTTTTCCCTTTGTTCTGTTTACTTTTGTAAAGTATGATTTTGAGCATTTAAAATTTTTTATTTAAATTCAATTTAATACATTGTATTATTATTTTCAGAGGTAGAATTTAGCATCATCAGTTGCATACAACACCCAGTTCTCATTAAATCAAGTGCTCTCCTTTTTTTTTTTTTTTTTTTAAGATTTTATTATTCATGAGATACACAGAGAGAGGCAGAGACATAGGCAGAGGGAGAAGCAGCCTCCCTCCAGGGAACCTGATGTGGGACTCCATCCCAGGACTCCAGGATCATGCCCTGAGCTCAACTGCTGAGGCAGACACTCAACTGCTGAGCCACCCAGGCATCCCTCAGTTGCCCTTCTTAATGCCCATCACCCATTACCCCATCCACCCCACTTTCCCTCCAGCAACCCTGTTTGTTCCCTGTAGTTGAGAGTCTTTAATGGTTTGCCTCCCTCTCTGTTTCCCTCTTATTTTTCCTTCCCTTCCCCTATGTTCATCTGTTTTGTTTCTTAAATTCCACGAGTGAAATCATAAGGTATTTGTCCTTCTCTAACTTATTTCACTTAGCATGATATTCTTTAGTTCCTTCCATGTCGTTGCAAGTGGCAAGATTCCTTTCTTTTTGCTTTGTGATTACCATGTGGCCTTCACATAAAACATCTCATAATTAGAACATCCCTTTTTATCTTGACATTTTATAGGTGAGCAAAGAGAAAGTGCTATCCACTCTTATATTTCTTCCCTTTTATATTTTTGATGTCATAGTTTATCTTTATGCTGTGAATTCACTGAAAAATTATAGTAGCTACAGTTATCTTTAATGCTGTTTTCCTTAGGCCTTTATCCTATAATTAAGAGGTTGAATACACCATTCTAATATAGTTACAGTTTTCTGATTCTGCTTCTCATCATTGTTGAAGTATGGTGTACTTTCATTTGCTTTTATGTCACTAATTAGCATCCTTTCAGTTCAGCTTGAAGACTACTTTCAGCATTTCTTGCAAGGCAGGGTCTAGTGGTGGTGAGCACTTTCAGTTTTCAGTCTGAGAAAGCCTTTATTTGAAAGGTGACTACTGGATGAAGTATTCTTGGCTGGCAGTTTTTGTCTTTTTACACTTTGTCATTTTACTGTCTCTTACCCTATAAAGTTTCTGCTGAGAAACCTGCTGATAGCTAATGAGTTTCCTTTATAGGTTTCTTTTTTTCTCCAGGTTTTAAGATCCTTTCTTTATCAGTGACTTTTGACAGTTGCATTAAAATTGGGTGGTCTGTTAGCTTCTTGGACTTGTATTCTCCAATTTCTTCTCCAGGTTTGGGAAATTCTCAGCTATTATTTCTCTAATTTTCCTTCTATATCTTTCTCATCATATATGATAGCTCTTGTAGGGTTTCTTTACTTTATTTAAAATCTTTGTTCTCTAGCCTCTTCTCAATCATTTCTAAATTCCTGTCCTCTAAGTTGCTAGTTCTTTCCTAATGAGCTTTCAGCTCATTGAATTCTTCAGCTCCAGAATTTATCTGGTTCTTTAAAAATTTGTCTTTTTGGCAAAGAACTTCTGTTCATTAATTTTATTCCTTAGTTCATTCAGTTACTTATGTTGTCTTGCAGCTTGTTGAATCTCATGAATTCATAACAGCTATTATGAATTCTTTATCAGTTAGATCCCAATACTCCATGCCTTTGAGTTTGGTTGCTGGAATTACTTTTTTTGTGATACCATACTACCTTGAGTTTCCTATAGCATGCCTCTGCCATCCTATTTGAAGTAGCACACACCTTTCTTAATTGTTTACTTTGACTGTTACAGTTGGGTAAATTGGCAGTTAAAGTCCTTTTGTTTTTCATAAGGTGGCCACATACCATGGCTTCAGATGGCTGAAGTTTTGGGTTTCTTTTTACCTAAGCTGGCTCTGGTGCTACACTTGGGAGTGTTCGTTTAAAAAGCTGGTGTAGAGTGCTCGCGGCAGAGGTGGATGGCCATATGGGATGATATGGGGGAATCCTTGAGTCGGGGTACTCCCAGAGGTCCATGGGCAAACCTGCTGAATGTGTTCCTCCAGTGCCCTATGTTATTCTTACCTGCCTCGTTCCTCTGTGAGGAAGGAAGCCCGGTGCATTGCGGTGTCATCCTGGGGAGGGAGGCGGACTCCTTTCTCCTAAGCCTCTGCCCCCAAACTCTCCTCGGTCTCACTCCACTCCCATGGTGCACTGACTGGTGGGACGCCCATAACTTCTGTACCTTCCTTTCATGCCTGACCTGGTTTGTCCTCGCCACTGTTGCTCTTGCCTGATTGTGGCAAGATGGAGTGGAGCAGCTCACCAAACTTCCTTGGATCTGAGGCCTAGCCACCTACTTTGCATGCCCAGGAGATTTGTATGTGCCTGTGCTCTACAATGTTTGTTGTAAATAAGAGGGGAGAGTCGAAAGATACAACTCCTGTTGCCATGATGATGTCTCCAGTCCTCTATGAACCCAAGTTCTTACATTATACGTATTGATTACTCCCTCCTTGCAAGTATAGGCAGTTTCTGGGTAGTTTGGATACAATGAATTGTTTCTCGATGGAAATTATCTAGATAGCTGTGTGGTAGGTAAATGTTATGTGATAATTATTCATGATCTAAAGGCAAACCATAGCTTGAAATCCTGACCCTGTATTTCACAGCAGACCAAGTAAGGCACAGTTTAACAGCTAGTTTAAAAAGTATCTGGGATTAGAATCACAAAATCTGTGTCCCCAAAACCAGAGTGCTTGTAAGTTGCTTTTGGCAGTTTCTACTGCTAAAGAGAAAGGGCTTTGGTGTAACCCACATCTGGCCACCTTCTGATTGACTGGATTCTTAAAAACCCTGTGAACAAGAGAATACCTTTCATCCAGAAAATGTTATTTTTTTCATATGATCCTCCTAATATTATGTTCTTTGTTCCAGACACCAAGCCAAGAGTGTCACATGAATTTAGTTTCTATGGGTATGACAGGGAAGGTACAACACTGAGAACGAGGCAGAGAATTCTGAGGCCCTTTTGGGCAATTTCGCTACGTAAGGAATTTTAGCTAGATGGATGTTAGTTTTGTATTTGTACTGCCAGGCTTCCAAAAACACATTCCCTATTTCTAAAACGATTTAAGTTACGTATCATTGGTAGGAAGCCATCTAAGCCAGCCCTCACCCTGAGCCCTGTATTCTAAACAAAAAGAAGTACATCAGTAATTGGCTCTACAGGATTGAGTGTTTGGGCAACTGGCTTTGTCTTTTTTCCTTTCTTAACATCTCTCATTATGCCTTTTTTCAAATTCTCTAACCTTGTGGAACCATGTTCCCAAGCTTTACCTTTTGTTCTTCCTTCTCAGTAAACTTTACCTTTTATAATGCTTCTGTGAGGCACCTTATAATTAGGACATTGTAAACTTAACTCTACCAGGAGCTGTTTATCAGTTTATAGATTATATTCAGCTGTGCATCTGCCCTATACTGTCTAATGTATACAGAAGATCAGCACATTCTCTGATGTGTTGAAGTGTCATTTAGAAAAAAGGGTGTCAGCATGGTAAAGCTGATCAGTAGAAACTTTTTTTTTCCAAGGAGCCCATTGTGAACAGACTTTGAAATGGTCCCTCTATGGCAACAGGGAACCCAGTATATCTTGTTCTACCCATGTAACGTGAGACATCGCTGCCACTGATTCGAAAGAAAGCCAGAAGCCTTTCCTTTCAGCCTGGTCAGAATCTTTCGCTCACATGTTCTTCCCTGGTTTAGCCCCACTTCTCTCAGAGTCTGAAAAAGAAAAGGAAAGTACCTGTTCCAGCTCTTGGTAGGTTGGGAGTCTGAGATGACGGAGATCCTCTTTTGATTTTATGAGGGATTCTTTATTCTCCCACTTGACAAAAGCTCGCTTTCTGACCAAGACGGGGCTGGGGCATGGAGATGTGGGACTGGGAAGCACATACAGAGTATCCTGGGCTGTCTTCCTTGGGGAAGACAGTAGAAAGGGACCAGAAGGACCCTCACTGCCAAGCCAAGGCAGTGATTCCGTCTGGGTGGCCTTATGGGCGACAGTCCTCTTCAGCCGAACTGAAATCTTCTGTGAGGACACTCCCATGAGCATGATGGTCCGATCTTTACTTTCCTCACTGTGTTCTACAGCCTCCCCATTAGGGAATGTGAAAGGTCCTTCCTCAGGTACTGTAGAAAGATACATGACATATTAATACTGTATCTCGGAAAAGCAGAAACTCCCGATTGACACATTAGTTCCAAGTAAAACCTTTCTTAGGGTTATAGGAGTTCCATAGGCCCAAAGTGGATTCCTTTTCAGGCACCCTCTTTAGGGGGTAAAGGGGCTTTACTGGTGAAGCCACGGCCACTGTTGCTAGGCTGCATCTATCCTAGGAAAGAGCATTTTCTACTTGCACAAAAGCTGCCTAGATGATTTCAGTGTCTGCAGATAGTTGAGGCCAGCCCCTGCTTCACTAGAGAGAAATGGTCCATAAATATTTTCTGTGGACCCTGGGATGTGGTAGCTAGCCCTCAGCATTCAAGTTTTGGTCCTATTGCAGGTGGTGGTAGGAATTTTCTTTGGGACCCATTTGCACAATGGCCATAGCTTAACTGTGAGGGGAGTTCTAGCTTTGTGGATGTGTGCCTCAAAATGTATTGCCCTTGTGTGACACCAGTTGGAAATCAACCACCACCCTTGCCTAGAACCCAGCCTAGATATTAGGCATTAGGAGTAATTTCCTGGAAGAGTAAAGAGTGGATATATGTGAGATGATTGCTAGGCTGTAGGATAGATGATACATCATATAAATTTATTGCTTTGCAAAGAAACACATTTATTTAATAAGTACAGATTTTAGATTCTGTTAGTTACCTTCCAGGATTTGGGGGAAATGAAATGATGTTTAAAAAGTGTGCATTTCTATAAAAATGTTACATATTTTTAATCACTAAACTTTCTAGCCAAGACATTAGGTTGGTAGAGTCAGCATTTATAATTTGAATCAACAGTTTAATACCAGATACATTATAAGGATCCTAGTTTAATCTTTACCCAGGGGAACATAAGTATTTATCCAAATAAAGCTCAAAATTAGAACTATACTGTTAACTTAAATATCACAATATTTATTTTTTGGAGGAGTATTATGAGTTTGTGTGCGCGCGTGCATCCCATTTTCCAACCAGACCTTCACACTGCTCTCTGCCACCTTTCTCCCATGAAAATTTGTATTTTTTGTGACTAGTCTGTGGTGGTTTTTACTAAAAGGGAGAAGGACAAAGGTCATCTTTCCTCCCTGAAAACTTTATCCTTCCCACTTCACTTTCCAAGAGGAATGTTCTCTGTGCCTACTTACCATGGAGCAGTTCTTTGGCTCCCAATGAGCAAAGACTGGATGCTGGCCCTCCAGCAGCGCTGTTCTCTGTGGGAACTGCTGGGTTCTTGGCTCCCTTCTTGCACTCAAACACAACCAGATCTTTGCATTGTTTGTGGCAGTTCATCCCGCAGTCTGTGGACAAGACACCCTGGTCAGGAAGGAAGTCTTTCGCTTTCTTGTCCAGAGTCTCAAAACCACATTTGTGCAGTGCTCTCTTGATATATATGCCTGTCCTAGGAGCTAGGACACCTCCTGTTCTTAACAAAGCTAGTAGCCTTCTCATCTGGTCACCTCTGGGTCTCACCATCTCGTTGAAACCCTCATCATGAGTCTCAGCATCTACTGTCTTGGAGAGAAGTGGTGTCTGAGTCATTCTGCATACACTGCCTACTTTAAGGAGATCCCCTGGAGGCTCGCAGCTCTTATGTCTGTCTTCCTTACGGTAAAAGTCTCCTCTCCTTCACTCCTGAATTTTTCTAGTTCTAAGGAAGGACAGTTATGTCCCAAGGAATCGCCTGAGAAAAGGAAAGGTGGTGAGGGCCATTGGTAAATACTTCTGTTCCAAAGTGCCTTTCTTTGGGGACCCACCTTTTTATGACCATATGAAAACAGCCTCCCTACCCACCACCACTATTTCCAGGACAACCCACACAGAGAGAGGACCTCGCAAAGGGGAGCTTCATAACCGGTCACCCAGGCATTCCTCTTCTCTGTGGTGGCAGTCACTCTCCATGGGTGCTCTAGGGAAGCCAGTTTGGGGATAAAGCTGTGAACTGTGCTGAGAAGTGGATTCAATGGACAACTACTATGGATAAAATAGGTTTCCTCTAAGACCAGGGAAAACAACACAATCAACAAAGCTGAGCCTTACCTTTACATCGATATCCTTGTTTGATCACTCCCCAGAGCTATGAGACAGACAAGAGATAGTCAGAATGTACAGTTGTCAGTCATCTGTCTACTGGGAGGCTAGACGTGACACCCATTCCTTATTTCCCCTTGTTGTGCTCTCTTCCTCAAGTGGGAAGGAAACCTTGTTAATCTTCCCCATCATGACTCTCCTGACCTTAAACTGCAAACAGGAAGAGTTTGTGCTGATCAAAGTCAAATGTTCTCAAGAAGCTCACTAGCATGGACTTCGGAGACCTTCCTGAGGCCTGAAGTAGATGAATCGAAGAACAGACAGGTTTCTCAGGATTCCAAACTAAAGAACAAGTATACAGAACCCTGGGGTCAGGGACTGGGAGGGACAGAGGTGGGCAGAATCACGGGGCTTCTTAAAAGCAGTTCCTTTTGAAGGGGAAAGAGCAGGGATGTCTCATCGTTCTTTTCTCTAACATATGAATATAATTACTTAAAAAAATATATCCCCAATTCAACCTTTCTTACCATTTGTCCCCAGACCTTATACAATGAAGGCAGAAATAAATCCAAATCTGGGAGGAATGGTAAAGATGAGTTCAGGTAAAAACCATGCATTTGAGAATGCGGTTATTCTGGGCGTTTACTTAGGCTATAAGCTGGGATGGTTGGTAAAGGTTGTGAGGTCTTTGCCTGGCTTAATCCTTTTAACTGTCGAATACGCCTCCCCAAGTTCAACCTGATACATTCAAAGAACAACTTACAAAGCCAGCACAGTTGTCACAGAAAGTAGGTTTCAGGTAGGTGGTCTCTTGAAAGTTGTGAGGAAAGCCCAGGCCCAGCTTGGAGTAGATTGAGCTGGCCCTCATGAAGTAGGCTGTGATCTCGTCTCTGCTGATGAGGCCTTCCCTGTCAGCAAGTGACAGACCAGGTGTGAGTGGGGTCTGAGTAGCAAGAGTGGCTTTTAGCCTTGACATTCACCTTTTTTACCCTTGTGGGGTAGGACAGTATGTAGTGGCAGGGATTATTTCCGGGAGCCCTGCTCTTAAATAAGGATACATGGATAGCATGTCACAGCAGGGGAGAGGGCAGTATTCATTTCAACAGAGGCGTTCTTTGGCTAAAGTAGGTTTTCCTAGCAAATTTAAAGACTTGAAAAAGAAATTGAAACTGTATAGGCAGAGAAGTGCCTTACGTTGTGGTTTCTGACTTTAGACAGTACGTGACACAGCACTGGAGCCCACCAGCCATCCCTTCAATTTCATACACAGAACCAACGTAGGGCTTATGTGACCTTCCGAAAAGTAAACATGCAAAGTAGTATATAATCCTTTCTCATGATCTGCAGAACAAGGCAAAGAGCACTCATAGTTTTCCAGTGACTATTCGTTAACTGGCAGATTTATGAGGTCTTCACTTCTGAGGCATTCAAAACACATGCGTTTTTCATAGTCATGGTCCAAACCAAACCCAGACAGGCATCCACAGCCGCCTATTCCTGTACACAGGTGCTCACCTGTCCCTGTCCATCACACAGAAGGAAAAGGGAAAACTGGCGGCAATCTTTTCAAACTCTTCCTGAGAAATGTATCCATCCTGGTCATGATCATAGTTCTTGAAGACAGACTGTGAAGAAAGGAGTTTCTTTGGTGATTACCAAAGTGAAACCCATCATTTCTCCCTTGAGCCAAAGGACCAAGGGCTGGAGCGTCTGCTAAAAGCCTCTCCTCGGCCTGAGTGAGAGAATGCAGAACCGTGCTCCCAGAGCTGCTGCAGGGAAGCAGTGGGGCATATGCCAGGTGTGCCCTGTGCTGGTGTCTACAGGGGGCCAGGGGCTTTCGGGTCCAATCATAAGTGCATCGACTAAGCATCTCCCTGGCCACTGTGTGCTCCAGCTCATTGCCCAGGGGATGCTCTCCCTCTTCTCGGCCTCCGTTGCTTCTGCTAACAGCCCAGCTGGAAATGCTCCCTCCTGTCCTCGACGATTCCTGGTTCTATCACTTGTTGGCTCTCACTTTTCGATTATTGTACCACCCCGCTGTAACATGAGGCCAAAGTATGTTCAAAAAATGTAACTCTTGAACTGTCCTACAGGCCCAATATGAGAAGTGGTCCCCTGTGTGCACTAGGGACAAGTTTCTCACCTCTGTTTCTGCCACTGTGCCCCACCCACCACCTTGCATGTAAAACTAAGCTAGGCGGTGCACTACTTCTCTCTGCTGAAACACAGCTGTACTTACATCCACCATCCTCTGGACGTGTTTGCTAATGGTCTTTGGGTCAGGTTTGGGAGATATTCCAGAGGCCCAATCCACTACGACTGGTGGTTTTGAAGGTGTTAGTGGCTAAAATGAAATATTCAGAGAAATCCCAATGACCAGAATGCAGTACAACGTACAACTCCCCCCTTTCTCACTAGCTGGTGGCTACATCTGTTGGCAACCCTCAGCTCCCTGCAGGGGCAAGGACCTGAGAGCCCACATGGAATTGAAATCAACAACTGTAATTCTGGCCAATGCAAGTGTGCTTCAAAGATGACAGTGCTCCTCCCATTTATTCTCTTCATCTCCAGATAACTCAAAATTCTCCATTCCCTCTGCATTAAACCTTTTGTCAAAGCTATCAGAAAAGTACAGTGGATCATTTGAATTTCTTTTCCATTCAGTGGATCATTAAATGCCCTTTCCGTTCTCTACTTACTAGGTTAGTAAAGATGTGGATGAAGAGAAAAATAGCTAAAAGGTGGGACAACACAAGGAAAAAGGTCTCAGGCCTGGACAAGCTGAGATGGAATCCATTTCTTTTCTTTCTTTCTTTTTTTTTCTTTTTGGAATCCATTCCTAACTGCAACTTGGCCCAATGAAAATCTCTTCCAAAAATGAGAGAAGGTATCCTTTCCATTTGAAATGCCCTCTAACACCCTGAAAATTAAACCTGCCAAATATTTTCAGTGAAGAGCTTTCATTACAGCAGGAGCTAGAACTTGATCTTTCTGCATAGAGACAATGAAATCTAGCTACCTTAACTCTCCCCTTACGTACTATATGTCTGGGGGGGCTGGGAAGCTTGCCAGGAAACGGAGGGCAATACTGGTCCTTCAGAAGGAAGACTGACCTCTTTACCTGCCTATAGGAGAGGCAGGGCCAGACAACCCGACAAAGTCCAGCCATGAAGCACCAGGACTGCAGGATTTTGAGGACTTCTCAGCATAAGGTCAAATTCCAGAGGAACATGGGATGATCGGACTTTTCTAAGTATGCATATTCTTACCAACAAATCAGAGAAGAGAAACGACTGATACGGGGATCCTTTATAATAAACAGAAAGGCGATGTCACTGTGGCTCACAACTCTGTCTCCCTTCTCTACTTGGTAAATCACCAACTGACCATACCACTCACTGGGGTATGCTTAGTGCGCATAGTCATTTACCGTTCCTATATTCGTCTCATCCCTTCAAGTAGTTTTCAGGCTCTTTATGGTCAGGAACTACTTATACAAATGTTGAAGCTTTCTCTGTTCCTAGCACAAGGTTGGGCACATAGTGGAAATATAACACTTACTACACTGAAGACAGTTTTGTTCCTTAAGATGATGACCTTGATGAGCAGCTTGTAAAGTATCTGTTACATGCACTAATTTTAGCATAAAAATATGAACAACTCACTGGGGCTCTGTGGTTCCTTGGTTCCCGAGCATAGGAGAGCTCGTAGATCTCATCTTCGGTATAGTAGAGATCTAAGGACAACTGCAGGTCAAAGCAGAACACGGTTATTTGCTAGGCTGCTGTTTGCTTTTCCCAGGGCTGATGTCTTTCTTTTCTTTTCTTTTCTTTCTTTCTTTCTTTCTTTCTTTCTTTCTTTCTTTCTTTCTTTCTTTCTTTCTTTCTTTCTTTCTTTCTTTCTACTTCCTCTGCTGCTGTTGGCTCTTCTAGTAGTTTGTTTTTAAAATTCACAATGTTTGGAGGATGTAACACTAGGGCAATAGGGCAAGTGTTAGTTCCTTTTTAATTTTTTTTTAATTGGAGTTCAATTTGCCAACATATAGCATATCACCCAGAGCTCATCCCGTCACGTTAGTTCCTTCTTGTTAAAATGTAAAATTGTGGAGAACTATCAAGATGTCCTCTTTTAAAATATAATTTAATATTTAAGCTTTCAAGCTTAGGCAAAAGGCCCTACTTACCTGGTCAGATGGTCCAACCTCACTTGTTTTCTACAACAGACCCCAGTTTAAATGATAAGAGGTATTATTAAATGATAGTAAGAGTTAATCAATTTCATATATCTTAAACCATAAAATCTAGAGGAGAGAGATCTTAGAAATAATCTTGTTCTTAACCTAGAGTCTATGGATGGCTTCAAGAGGTTCAAAACTCATGTATATTTTTTGGGGAAGAATGTTCAGTTTTCACCACATAATTTGTGATTCAAAAGTGTTAAGATCAGTGCATCTTTTTATAGGTGATGTCTAAGGCCGAGACCTGCCATAGTCACCTGGCCCGTTGGTAAAAGGGCTAGGATGTGAACGGTGGGGCTCTATCAGAATCATCATGTGAAGGGAGAAGAGGCTATAATTATTTTATTCTGCAAAAATGCAGATTAAAAACTGTTTAATGTTAGAACTGAAAGAGAAGTTACAAGCTATCCCAGAGATTACTCTCTGATTTATAGAAACGGAAACAGATTTAGAGTTACATGTCCACAGTCTAACAGCTGATGAACTATAGAATTGTGGGTATGGAAAAGAGTTCATCTTATCTCACTCTGGACCCAACACGCAAATCCTGGGCTCCTGCACCACAAATGTTTGCCTGTTCTTGACCTGAATTTTTTTTTTTTTATACTTACTGCCTTACCTTTTTTTTTTTTTTTAATGGGAATACATTGTCTGCATCTCTTACAAAGCTTTATATCCTGATTTGCTATTAGCTCCTCCCAGTGAGTTTAGGATTGCTTTTGTAGGGGGGTGGGAAACAGTTCTACAAGTCCTAAGGGCATACTGCCTAAGAACACAACCTCAGGTCCCTCCACCTGGGTCTGAGTCCAGGTTCTGCTGCTTAATCATGTGTGGTCCTCTGAGAAATTATGCCTTTGTGCCTCAGAATCCCTATCCATAAAATGGTGATAATAATAGTATCTACTTCAGAGTTTTTATGAGTATCAATTGAGGTACTATTTGCTAGGGTGTGGGGAGTGGTTTGTGGTATATAGCTACTCCTTAGTAGTTGCCTCCTGTAGGAGCCTCACCGTCAGCAAATGCACCAAGTCCTTGTTGGCCTCCAAGGGTGGGGCCACCTCTTGCAGCTGGACCAGCTCATTGATATGATTGTAAAGGGCCAGCAGCTTGTGGACGTTCACCTTCCCATCTTCCAGATAGTCGGGCATAGCTTCGTACAGGGATATGAGGTCCTTGAGGTGCACCCCCAGGATGGGGATCTTGAATTGGGTACACTCCCCATAGGCTCGCCGATAGTTGTCATAGTTTCTACAGGAGGACAGCAGCTCAGTCATCTCACCCAGAACCTACAAAATAGAAGAGACCCAGTCACAGGTACCCACCAAGCAGGGAGTATCGTCTGCAGTACTCTCAGCTCCTCCCATGATTTCACCCCATCCCTAATTTGCCAGGCAGGAGGTGATTCATCTAAAAGTTGCAGTTTGTGACTCCCAAATTAAAATTCCAGCTTATTTCAAATGCAGGGTGTATCTACAAACGCAAGGTAGGCTTTACTTGATTATACTACGTAACTGAAAAATCTTGAGTGTGGTCTTATCATTTTTATACTAAAAAAAAAAATGAGAACCTGAGATAAAAATTTAAAAAGGTACAAGAATATACATTAAACAGTAAGTGTCCCTTTGACCTCTGTCTCCAGCCGTGCAGTTTCCCTCCCTAGTGCCATCTGAATGCTTCCAGAGACACGTGAAGTGTGCTGTTGGAAGTGCTGACTGTACTGCAGGCGCGGGGAATTGTTGCGGGGCGTCAGGAGTCTACAGCACATTCTTTATGCTCTGCTCTGCGGGCCTTCTCGCAATGATTTTCAGATGGGCCAAAGTCTAGGAAGTGTGTGACATTCCGTTCACAGCCCGGAATCCTGAACCAGAGATTCAGGTAACAGACCGATTCCCAAAAGAAAGCATGGAAGAGGTTGAGGCAGAGGTCCTAGGGGGCGGGTCAGTAGAGCCCACACCGTGCCCTGAAAGGGGCGAGGTTGCTCACCAGCCCAAAGAGGGAGCATCGGGATCCAGCGTTCCTGACAAACACGCCTGGTCCACGTCTGCAAGCAGTTCGCAGAACCCCCTTCCCCACTCATGATGGCCATCTTCCTCAGAGGCAAGGACGGGAAGTAGAGACTGTCCACTAGTCGTGTCACAGCACAAAATAACTATTTTAAATGCTGCTGGACATCCTTTTAATAAGACTGTGGTCTAACAAGTACCATTTGTCCCCAGGGAGGAACTGGAGGTTTGGAGCGCACCTCCCTCAATCCTGATGACCTGGCAAGATGGGGTCCCTCTCACTCACCTCTTAGCAAACAGTGACCATGACTGTGAAGTAGGGAAGGGGCTTGCAAGAACTGGCTGTGCAAACCGCCCTGAGGGTCAAGCAGCCACCCACACAGAAGCACTGCTGTGGAAGAGGAGCGAGCTCCAGCTTCAAGAGAACTAACATGAGGGCATGTTCATCTCCATGACTGTCTCCCTCTGTCACTTCTGAGACATGGGCAATCTTTTCAGTGGTTCCACTGAGTTTCCGCAGAACTAGTAGGGAACTGGAAGGTGGAGTGGGGTAGCATCCCCGGAGCTAAAGGTGGTTGGTAACAGCGGGGACAATGAATCTGAGACTTCCCAAAAGCAGCTTGAACATCCTGGGACAACAGGGCAATGGAGCACAGACATGTCTCCTTAAGAAGAGCCTCCATGGAGCCCAGGAGGATGGGGGGGCGGGTAGGGGGTACCGGGGGGGTTGAGGTTAGTTAAGGCAGGGCTGCTTAGTCCTCTCGTGAGGTGGAAATGCTCAAAGAGCAGCTGTCAGCTAATCCAGACCACACACAGCTGCACTCATATCTTCAGTATATCTTAGTGGTTTGTATTCAGAGTAACAGCCCTGTGTTATAAAGGACTAAAGTCTACTCAGTAAGATGTTAAGAATGTAGAAAAGTGCATAGGGTATTTAAGACGACTATTCCTCAAGAGAACACTGCTACAAAATGGCACCTGAAAAGTTAATTTTAAACTCTGGGAAAATTCGGCTGTCCAGAATGTCATTTTCCAAGCGATCTGGGAAGCAGGCTTCTAATCTGTCACTTACTATACATATTTGACACCAAACAACTACAGTCAACCGAGCTACTGTTTCTTTTAGGAAAATGTTTTGGAACAAGGTGCTAGAGCAAGAGAATTGGTATTAAAGACAGTGACTGAATGTTCACAGGAGTAGAGGAGAGAGGCACACATTATTTCCGCTGACTGGTGGGGATGTGTACAGTGACAGAAGCCAGAATGAATCAGTCACTCTCAGATCTGGGACCAGTCCTATCCTATGGGTCTTCAAGGGTGGGGGGGGAGGGGGTATTTGGTTCTGCCTCTCTGGCACTTTGCCTAATTAGCTGAAGGGTTACAGGGCCTGGAAATGCTGGCCCTGGGGCTGCTGCTAAGGAGCCCAGAGGAGGCAGTGGTGCTCACCTTGTTGATTTCGTGAGGGACATGTGAACTTGTCTCCTTGAGCCTGGAGATGGAGCTGTGACACAGCCCGCCTATCACGGCCATCAGTGTATTGAAGTTCTGTAGCTGGTGGAGCTTCTGTGAGATAGGAAACAGAGGGCCGTCAACGTGCATGTGTTACACACCTCCACGCTCTCCTGGTATCCTTCCTGATGCTGGCCACGGCCTAGGGGTCAGGGGCTGCAGCTTTCTGACTGTTCTTTCCTGTAGGCTTCATTTCAGACCACAGGTCTCAAGTCTAGCAAGGTGTCACGTGTCCCTCCTCTGTTGCAGCAGTTCTGCGGGCCGTCCTCTATGTCAGCAGTTTCTAAGAACCACCCAAAGTACCTGTTTAACACAAGGACTTCTGGATCCAAGTGCAACTCTTCTGATTCCTGGGATCTGGGGCTGAACTTAGGGATAAACCTTCAGTCAGTATCAGAGCAGTTGGGCCATGTACCAAACCGGGCCTGACCATGTAGAGCTAATAGCATTTGACATCCTTCATCCTGAATAACCAGACTTTAATCTTTAAGGGCAAAGACTCTCTGGGGAATTCCAGTTATGCGCTCAAACCACCTGTTTTCCTCTTACGAAAGGCTGCCTTCAAATGTTAAACCTGGCCATTCAACACAATCTAGACTCAAAGACCTAAAACCTGGGAGACTGCCCTTTCCTTTGCCATGGGGGCCACGTTTGGAGAAACAATGTAGGCTGGTAAGCATCTTCTGAAAATGTTAAAAGATCTAAACAGATCTTGGGGTGCTTGACTGGCTCAGAAGAGTGTGTGACTCTTGATATCTTGGGGTCAGAGGTTTGAGCCCCACATTTGGTTGTAAAGATTATAAATAAATATGTAAAAAATTTTTCAAAGATCTAACCAAATCTAAAAGTGTATCCTAACCCAAGATAGTTCAGTATGGCCCTCACCATATTGCCCTTATGGGGGAAACAGATAAGCCACGGCATCTAAATCTGGGACAGTTTACAGCATACACACTCCACTGTGGTTCAGGAGAGGAAAGCAGCTCCAGCCGACATACTGGCTAGGGGGAGGGAGAGGGGTAGTTGACCTCATAACCCAGGTCAAAATTCTTAATCTAGTCACTCACCTGAGCCACCTGGATGAACTTGATAAAGACTTCTGCCCGGAGCTGCGGGGTGGGGCGGCTGAGAACCATCAGTTGTACCCACTGGGAGATGCCGTTACACAGGGCAATGGACCGCTCCATGGTGGGGTTCTCCTTCACACAGCTATTCACGAGGTAATTCTGATAATCGGAGAACTGGGGAAAAAGAAACCTGTCAGGACGGCCCCTCTAGTGTCCCGGGAGGCCCGAGAGGCACATCACCTCGGTTCAGTTGATGCTGTGGGGCACAGAGGCTCTTGGCCCTCCTCTTGCATGGCTTCCACTTGGCTGATGAGCCTGGAGATGATGATGATGGTGGGAAGGAAATCTTTCTTATTCTACCCCCAGCATGGTTTCTCTCCATCAGAAGTCATTAGCACAAGTGGACGTGTGCACATCCTAGTTAATCCAAACACTGTATCTGTGTAGATAATGATACCGTCCCTTCTAAATTCTAAAGACTACAATATAGAAGAGAAATCCTAGTATAGTCCCTGACTAGAATGGGTTGACTTAGGATTTTTTAACTGTAGAGTGTTGCAAAAGCCATATGCGCTCGAAAGAAACCATACTTTGAATTTTGAGTCTGGACCTTTTCCCAGACTAGCCATACACAGTGTGAAACAGCAAACTGCAGCTACCAGGCAGCCACATGATATCATAGGAATAAACAACTGATTCGCTTACAGCCACCCTGTACTCCTATAAACAGCTCAGTATTCAGTAAACTACAAGAGATATTCAAAATTTTATTACAAATAGGCTATGCGACAGGTGATTCAGCCCAACTGTAGGCCAACGGAAGTGTTCTGGACACGTGTAAGGCAGGCTAGGCTGAGCTACGCGTGATGCTGGTAGGCTGGAGGTATTAAATGCGTTTTCGACTTGTGGTATTTTCGACTTACAATGGGTCTGCGGAGCCCGATACTCCCATGGTAAGTTGAGTAAGGTCTGTACTAGTTCTCGCTCCACTGCGAAGGGGAATAACGGACAATCCTCCCAAGAAAATCTCTCTCTTCACCCCCCGAACCGCTGTTTTCTTAAAAGTGGGATCATAAAATCCACCCCACCCAGGGCACGGAACTGTTAGGAGCATAACAATGTAGGAGAGCACGCTAACTTCCCGGGGTGCTACACACGTGCGCCCGCACCGCAGGCTGCACCAGAGCTGCTGGGACTTCTCTGGCTCATCAGCCTGAGCGGAGGCCGCGCGCTTAGCTATTGTTTAGTGACCAGGGTTTTCCGACCTGACGGTGGCTGACTAGGCTGGCATGAACAGCCTCTGTGGACCGGGGCTGTCGCCACAGACCACTGTCCCAGCGCCACGGCAGCCACCCTGCCCTGCTGCTGCTCCGCCCCAATGGCCCTGGAAGCCCCCAGGCGGCCGGCTATTCCCAGCCCCCCCTGCTTCCCAGCCCCCCTTTGAAGTCGGACGTGTGACACGGTTGGGCCAGTGACCGCTGACGGGCAGAAAACTAGGGGCAAAAAAGGCCTCAAGAGGGACACATAAGCAATCATACTGGTTCTGAGAGAAAGTGCCCAGGACTCACCCCAGTGAATGCATCATGCCCCTCCCACTGTCAGTAAAGCACGGAGTCTGCGTATTTTTTAGAATTAGTACTAAATACTATAATTAGCACAAAATAACCAATGCCACTGAGTTCATAGCAGAGAGAAATTTCCCTCCAACTGCAGTCAAGGAATTAATTAATTGGGAAAACCACTTAGAACTGGGTAGGAAAAATGAAAAAAAAAAAAACAAACCCACCCCGTTTTCTATGAGGGGATCGTGCCACCCATAAGAAATGAAAGTTCAAACTGATGTGTTCATTGGCAAGGGGAGCACGGCTTGAACCTGGGGAGCACTAACTCACAGTCCTAGTTCTAGGGTGATTTCCACTCTGCCTCGGGGATCTGAGTGCAGGCATCCTGGAGGCACCCTGCCAGCTGGGCCCTGATTGCCCGTGTCACCCATTGCCCTTTTCAGTGTTGTTCCCTGGCACAGGGAGGCCCTGCCCAACATAAATGGCCAGGTGGAGCTTCCTAATCGGGGCCTATGGTTGGCCTGGGAGTGCTGGCGGGGACCCTGGAGGGCTGGCGCCCATGAATGCATGGAGCTTACTTCCCGCCAGGGGCTGGATGGTCCTGCCACCTGTGTGGCATCAGAATGACGTCAGCAACATGGGAGGGGAGATGAAACAAACCCTGAAACCTGGTTTGTGGTTCTTCTAGACACAGGCAGACTTCATCAGCTGGGGCTGAGTGACATGGAGGCATGTGACTCCAGCCCCAGCTCTGACCCTGGGGGGCAGAGTGACCTCGCTCCGGCTGCCTTCCCAGGGGTCCCCATCCCCGCATCTGGGGAACATAGGTCATTCTAAGAAATGCATCCAACAACTGGGTGTGCTCTGCTTTTAGAGCAAAGCTGAAGACTGCCTCTCTGGTAGGGGTGGGGTCTGAGCGGCCCAAGGCTGTCATTTCCTGGGGAAGCATATTGGCTAGTATGCGAAGCTGGCATCTGCCACGCTGACAAGTTCTCTTGTAGGGAACCGAAATTCTTTCGTATCGTAGATGGAGTTTTTTAAGGAGCAAGGTTTGGGTCGGTATGGCTTTGATCTAGAATCATGATGGACTGCTGGGTCCTGTCACCACGACTTTAAAAAGTAAAGTATATTCTGGTCTAGACCAGGAGCATCCGCTTTATTTTAGGATTTCCCTGAGCCATTCAAAGCCCATCCCAGAATAAAAACTCAAGGGAAGACATATCACTTTCCTTTTTTTTTTCTTAAGGAAAATTTGTAAAAATCTGGAAGCGTGATGGGTGTGTATGCATACATATATGTGTGTGCGCGTGTGTGCAGGGTGTCGCGTGTGCCCACAGCATTGCCGCGTGAGTGAGTGGTGGGGTGGCATGCAGGATAGGAGAAGGGGAGCACAGCAGAGCGACAAAGATGTTTCGAGGAAATGTGCTCATTTCCTAAACTAGACGAAGTCTGGTAGGCATGTCTAACCAGCCCTGAGGGGCCCTCCAGGGTCAGGAGGTAGATGGGCTGTTGAATTTCTCTGCTTGTTTTCTGGAGTGACCCAGGGAAGTTCTCCCCCTGCCCTCAAGCACGTACGGATATCCTCCGGAAGGACTTGAACTCAAGGTAGGTGAGGTGCTCCGACAGCTCCTCTGGTTCCAGGTGGTCAAACAGCAGGGACACTTTACGTTTCTTGCTGGTGTTGGATTTTATCCTTTGGGTCAGCTTCCTGGACCAGTCACGGGCATTGCTTTTGTGAGTAAACATGAAAGGGAGAAGATGGGGAAAAATAAAAATTAGTTTCCAGGGGGGGTGCCCTGATGGTCAAGCGTCTGCCTTCAGCTCAGGTCCTGATCTCAGGGTCCGGGGATGGAGCCGGAGCTTGCTCCCTGCTCGGCGGGGGGGCCTGCTTCTCCCTCCGACCCTCCGCCCTCACCCCACCCCCCACTCGCTCGCTCTCTCTCAAATAGTTCACACAAATTTTAGTTCCAGTAAGTCCATGAACACTTCCCACAGGAACACACAAAGCACCGTCCATTAGCTAACTCCTCAGCCGAGGCAAAGCATTAAGCAGTTTCCCCAAATCCGCTTTCTCCTCCGCGAGCGGGTGGGATGGCCTTGCTGGTTCCGGGCGAACCTTCCGAACCTGGCCTGGGACCCGGGGTCTCCTCTCAGGCCCGCGAAGGCCCCCCCCCCCCCCCCGGGCACGGTGCCGCACCCCGGGGTCGTGCCCCAGCGGGCCGTCTGGTCTTTGCTTCATGACCTAGACTGTCCCTTGCCCACTCTGAGTATCGACGCTACTATCCTGCAGCTGGCATCCAAGTCCCCTGTCCATCTACTGGAGTTGCAAAGCTCTTAATCCAGAAGTGCTCCCCAGTGCTGCTGCAGACAGTGCAGGGTCTGGTGCCAGGCGGTGCGTGCCTATTGTCCCGGGGCACGGCTGCTCGCCGTGGCCTCCACACTTCCACCTCCTGGCGCTCTTAGAGCACTCCCTGACGGTACCACGCACCAGACACTTAATCTTTCCAACCATTTATACGCCACTACCTGCCTGTCCATGCCCAGTCATGACGTGCGTCTTCCTGCAGCGTCCCCAGGCACCCACCGAGGGCCCAGGGGGCCTCGCCCGCCCGCAGCGCCTCCGCGACGTTTCCCGCTCATCGATGCCACGGCCTCTTGGCCTCCTGGTCCCCCACAGAGGGAGCGGCCGGGCGCGGCTGCGGGGCGGGGCGGGGCGAGCCGCACGGAGGGGCACCCGGCCCGGCGGAGGCTTCCGAGCCCACGCGAGCCCACGCGAGCCCACGCGAGCCACCGAACGGGCGACGGCGACGCCCCGCAGGAGGGAGGCTCGGCTCGCGGTTGGTCCGCGCGGAGACCCCGCCGCGGGAATCGGGGCGCGGGGGCGGGGCACTGCCCTGGGCTGCACCCGCCTCGTCTTGCCGCCCAAACAGTTAGGGCGACACTTCCGCTCATCTTCCACGGGGCGACTTCCAAGCAGAGAAGCACAGAGTCCGAACTGGCCGAGCCCAGAGAGCGCCCCGGGGTCCCCTCTGCGCGGCCCCGGCGACCTGGCCGAGCCCCCGCTTCCCGGGAGGTCGGATGACACGCGCCTCGGGCCCAGGGGCGGCACCCGGGGCCGTCCTGCTCCTGCTCCTGCTCCTGCTCCGACCTGATGTGGCCACGTTGCCAGAAGCGCGCCGCGCGGGCACTGCCCCTCCCGAGGTTAGAAAGGCCCCTCCTCGCAGCGTGCGCCCAGGTCGCAGGTCGGAGAGCCAGGGGGCGCCCCGCGCAGGCACCCAGCGACCCCAGCGCGGCGGACGGGCGCGCCCAGGCGCGGAGGACGCACCGGCCTGTACTCCCAGTTTCCCGGATTCCTTCTTCACCGGGACTCTTCCCCCTCTCTCTCCCCTGCGCCTTGATATTAGTCACTCACAGCGTTGTCCCCAGGGGGCTTCCCCGCTTTTCTGTTCAACGTCAGTCTTTTGGCTTTGGGGACCCAATCTGAGCCTGTCTGCAGGGCGTCTCAGGGTGGTGGAAGAGCCGCCTGCCCTGGAGCCCCGGGGGGAGGGGGCGGGGGGGGGCGCAGGTGCTCTGCAGGGACCGGTCAAAACCCTGATACTCACATTTGAGTCGTGTCAATCAGGCGGCAGTGCAACTCCTCGCCCTTAGCCTTCACCAGTTCCTGAAACTCTTCCATGGCGTTTGTCAAGCTAGCGTCCATTTTAAACATGATCCAGAATTCTGTTATCCAGTACCTACGAGGTGGGAAGTTAAAAAAAAAAAAAAATCCAAAACTGATGACAAAGACTCATGCTTCGGTGGGTTCTTCCCTCAAAGGAGGATCAGAAAAAGGAGGTGGTTTGTCCCTCTATATGCCCAAGAACACAGAATATATATTCTATATACAGAATACAAGGGGGTGAGGGATGGAAAGAAAACGGGCCGCCGACAGCCCCCGGCCCCTCCACACACCACACGCTTTGACAGGACAGGTGCATGCGCCGCACAACAGGAAGGGCTATGGCAAAGACTGAGGCCCAGTCGTGTGTGTCGCAGCTGATGGTTAGGAGCTCTGTTAGAGACAAACCAAATCCAAGGACCGGGCAGTGAGTCTGTAAGGTACATTTTCTCACATCTTACAACATACGACTGTGAAAAATAATGTCCACACAAACACACACACAAGTTTTTAATGACTAAAGGAGATTCCCTGTGACCTAGAATTAAGTGAGACGTACAGGACACACAAATGGATTTTGATCTCAACTGCATTAAGAAGACCCGCTTAGAAAAAACAACAAAGGACGTGTTCAGGACAGGTGGGGGGGGGGGGATGAATGACTATTACCATGGTCATACTCTTTGCTGGCTTTTCAAGATGCTCAAATGTGACCTACGTCACTTTCATAATTAGGAATAAAGACGAAATGACAAAGAGGTCATTTTGGTATCGAATATTAAGCTCAGGCACCCTAGCAAAAACTGTGCTCCAAGAAGGCGTCTCCAGCAGGCAGCACTGCCCTTTCCTGTGTGTCCAGGGGAGTTCTACAGATAGGACGAGAGAGGCGGGGAGCACGAGGCAAAAACGAGGAGCCCCTGCTTCATTCAGTCTTTTCATTTCACCCCACTCCACGTGTCCCATATGAACGTAGAGATGTTACCTTACAAAATAGCAGATCTTCAGGCAAAGCCCTGGTGAATTCTTTGCCAAGGCATCCTTATAGGTAGGGCTGTGGTTAAGGGAAACAGGAGCCTCTGTCATAGAAACCAAACAACTTCTCATCTTTGGAAGTATTTGCTAACCCCCCGCCCCTACCCTACCCCGTGCCCACACATGCTGTTTTCTTATTTTTCTCGCCACGGGATAAAAACTAACCCGATGTATGCAGCATCACCTGGAGGAGTGATGCTGGTGACCTTCTACACAGCCCACATCAAAGCGACTTATGGAGGGAGATCCCAACATTTCCTTTGCAGAAGGGAAAAGACAAAGCCAACAGTGTGGAAAGCTGCTGACATAGGTAGCACCTGAACTGAAGAAGGGGCAAATGACCTTGTGCCCATTCCCAAGAGGTTAGGAGTCCCACCGAAACAACTGAAAAAGAAGCCCCGTCTCCTTTTTTTTTTTTTTTATTTATTTATGATAGTCACACAGAGAGAGAGGCAGAGACACAGGCAGAGGAGAAGCAGGCTCCATGCACCGGGAGCCCGACGTGGGATTCGATCCCAGGTCTCCAGGATCACGCCCTGGGCCAAAGGCAGGCGCCAAACTGCTGTGCCAGCCAGGGATCCCAAGCCCCTTCTCCTTTAAAGTGTTTTGGGGAGTGGATAAACAAATTTGTGCACTAAATTAGAAAAAAAGGGAATGAATATTCAGATATAGTGTCATAATTAAGAGCAGCAGTGTGAAAAATGTAATATACTCCTGGAGGGGGTCAGCAGATGGACCTCGTAAGTTGTGATAGTAAGTCAGACAAGGCCATGTGAATAATCCAAAATATGATCAGAGGTCATGTTTAAGGATCTGTGGCATTTGGAATATTCCATGAGAAGGGCGCCATCCTAAGAATATGAAAGGACAGTGAGATCCTATTAAGTTTACCTCTTTAGAAATATGTGGAGAGAATATTTCCTTTATTTTACAACCCAAAGAAATGCAAAACCCAAACTCTGTGGAGAACCTGGGTGGGTCTACTATCTTTGGTCAACAGGCTGAGGAATCGGGCGATGTCTACTGTGAGGCTAAGCCCTCCTTCCTTTCTAAAACCCATGCTTTCCTGACTGCAGTACAGGGTTAGGTGAATTCTAGCAGGACGCCTGTGATGTGTTCAGTGAGCAAGGTGGCAGAGATCTCAGTTAACTGGGTGGGAGTGGTCTTCCTCCAGTGGGTATGTGTAATTTTAAATTGCTGGAAAATGTAGGGGTAAATACAGCCCAGTGAAAGTCCGCATTTTAGGATCAGTGCTTTTGATTAGGAAGGAATCTGAGCTATTTGGGTGATTTTATATCCCTGTACTGTTTAAGAGCCATATTAGAATGATAGCCTTGAAACTTCAATTTGGAATATATAATTGTTTTAGACTTGTGATTCTAAATTGAAATTTTATTAAGTTTAATCATGGCTTTGGAACTTCTAAAATGATGTTAACTGCTTATGACTTTTATCTACTAGTTACAAATACTATGTAGAATTCAGGAAGGCATCTGAAGCATTTAAAAATAATTCAAAATATAAGATTCATTAGTTGTAGTTAAAAACCATTGGAAGTATTTAGCTAATTAGCATTATTCAAATTAACCAAACATTTTTCAAGGCCCCTTAAAAATGCGTGGTGAAACATGCTAGACTTACAGAAAGAATAGTATGTGCAAACTGCACTTGAAGCCCCAAACGGCTCTGGTTGTAAAATTTGTACTCTTAATAAAATCCCTTTAATTTAAAAACTAAATTTTAATGGATTTACTGCCTGTAGTATCTGCCCTCAAAAGCACCTCAGAAACAAAAACAAAAAAAACCCCCAAAAAACACACCTGTACAGCAACATGGATAATAACAATAAAAATAAGCCCAGGCAGGTGATGGCAAACTTTATGAAATAAAAGGCTCTGATGCCTGCCTTTCTCTGGGCATAAAAGGTAAGAGTGAAAACAAGAGGACCTTACATTTCTCTCGGCCGTATGGCTGAGGGAACACCTGCCTTCAATGGAAAGAGCTCCAAGCACAAGGCACGTTCTAGATACATATGGGCCAGATTCTGTATTTTTATCACTTGATGCACTTGTCAAAATTTTTGTTCTTCTTCCTTTTCAATGACAAAGGGATAGAAAACATATTTCTCATCAAAAACAACTAAGTAAAAAAATAAAACAACTAAGTAGACATAGAAATCACCTTGGTGCCATTTATTGGAGCTGCCACCAGGCCGCTCCCTGCCCAGCGTGCCGTGGCCCTGCATGCAGGCAGGCCCCAAGCCAACGGGTCCAAGCCACGGCCAAGCTGGCCTGACATGAGCAGGGGCTGAGGCCGAAGCCGGCGCACACAGGCCAGGACGGGAGGCTCAGGCACCTGCTGCGCCACGGGGTGCAAGTTATTGTCCCCTGGAAGCTTCAGGCCTCCCTCTCCGCAGGTGAAGGACCAGTACTGTTCTAACTATACTTTCTAGGCACTGGAACCATTCAGAGCACGTCTTAAAAGCTATTTAACAGCGGAAAACCAGGAAGCATCAGGAAAAGCATGAGCTATTTAATAATTCTAGAACTGCCAAGGTCAGAAAACAGAGACTCGGAGCGTGAAGAAAAAATCGTCCTGCTGTCGCTGCAGTCTTATCTCAGATTCCCTTCTTAGAATTTTGTCTTCCACCCTCCACCAAAGCCTGAACTTCTCACCTAGAAGTCCCAATACAGAAAGAGGAGCCAATGCTTTGCACCCACAGTAAGGCAACATTCGTTGCATACTATCAGGAGACGGCCCCTGAGCTAAGCTCTAGAGAAACAAAGATAAAGCCACCTTGGTTCCTGACGCCGACAGGCAGACTGGTGGGGGAGACGTGTCATCGGGTAAGTTAACAGTGTATGCATCTTTAAACCTATGCTAAAAATATATTTATTTTCCTTAAAGTAACTTATAATTATTTGAGTACTGTTGTGACTTTCTATGTTCCTGACACATCAAACTACACTGGCGAGACACAGAGTTTCTGCTGTTTACTCCACACATCACCTGTGAAGGCCAGAGTCTGAGTGTATCACGCTGCAGGACTTACAGACTCGGTCAGGGTAGACCAATGGATGCAGCTAACAGGATAAAAACACTTGGCACTTTCTGTCATCGTAGATGAAAAGCTTTTCAAGGCAGATTATATCCAGACCAGGGATATGAGGGATACTCACTCAAGCGATACAGAACTAAAGTCAGAGGAATTAGATTGTCAGAGCACTAAGGACACTAGATGTATATTTTAAGGGGTGTGTGTGTGTGTGCGCGTGCATGCAAGGCTGAAAACGTCAGGAAGGCTTCACAGAGGGGTCTTGAACGGGTCTGCTAGGCAGTGAGGGAGGAAAAGGCCCTCCAGGCACGGAAATCGTTAAGAGGCCCTTACAGAGGGATGCCCTGTCCCAGCAGCAGAGGGGCTCTGCACAGGCTCTGAGGCAATGGCCTGTGACCTGCTTCCTCAGGAAAGGAACTTCAAAGATGGCCAGTGAACGGGAACGGCGGGGGGGTGGGGGGGGGGCGTGTAGCATGCAGGGGAGAACAGCAGCCCAGGACAGACAGTGGCCGAGGACACAGGCTGTGGAGGACTGGACTGACTCCAGAGGAGGTGAAGGGCAGAGGGAGGAGGCAAGAGTGCTTCTGAAGTCTCTGGTTACGCTAAGTGGATGGCCAAGGACACCACGAATTGAAACTGAAAATACAGGTGTCAAAGCAGAATTGGTGGGTAGTAACTGGGGATGACAGTGGTGAGAAAACGAAATAAGGTTTGAGCATATTAAGATTGAAGTGTCTGCAGTACAAATGAGTCCAAGTGGTTTTTTTTTTTTTTTTTTTTTTTTCCAAGATGGTTTAGGTTAAAGAGATACAGACTGGAAAGTCCGCAGCACTGGAGGACAGGGGTAGAAATCCTGGTGGGGAATCACCCAGCGGAGGAGGTGGAGTGAGAAGGAAACTCGGATGCTGCTCCGACAGAGGGAGGGTGGAGGGGAGCCCCAAGGGGTAAGGCCTGGAGGGGCAGAGGTTGTCTACAGAGCCCAGAGGAAGCAAGGGCAGAGAAAAGCCAGTGGGCTTAGTCGCAGAAGGCCAGTGGTGACATCAGAGGGATGTCTGAGTGCAGGGGTGGGGGCCCCAGCTGAGGTAAGGACTGAGTGGGAGTTGAGATGGGAGACAGTGAGTGCAGACCTCTTTTAGGAGGTTTGTGCATCAAACTGCGAACCCTAACAGTGGAGGGAAGGCATGGCTGAGAGTTAATTTGCAGGTTGGGGAGACCTGAATGTGTTTCAGGCTGAGGGGCAGGTGTCCTTGAAGGGGGGGGTGTGAAGTGGAGGAGCAGGGACCTCAGGGAGAGGTCAGGCCCTGTGGGGTGTGGGAGCAAGCAGGGAGGTGAGGGTGGTCTGTCCACCGCCAGCACAGCCAGGGCTCGGCCATTTAGTTTAGAGCAACAAGCTTCTCACCAAGGAGTCTCTAATCACCGACACTGTTTAGGACTGCTGGCACAGAGTTAATAAAAGGTCAACCGACTCCAAATCAGCTCTGTAATGGTTTAAAAATTCTCTGCAGACTCGCACCCCCTGTCACCTGCAGCTCCTACCGTACAGACCTCAGCCAGTGCTTTGCCCTGGGAATGCCACAGGAAACACCTCCTGTGGCATGAGAGATAAGGATGTATAAGCAGGTTTAGAGAAGAGACTCAGTCTCTTCTGATGGCTTTTATTTATTTACTTATTTTTGTGCACCATAAGATGAAAAGGAAGGGGTCAAGGGAGGGGTGAAGGATTAGAGGAGCCACCGGGCATGACTCAATGCCAAGGACTGGGGCTTCAGGTGTTCAACTGTCTTCTCCCACCTACGGTCCATTCTCCTCGGGGCCACACAGGGCAGAGTATCACCAGCCGGAGGGAAGGGCAGGCTCCTTTTCCACCCTACTCAATTCACACCCTAGAAGGTTAAAATCCAACAGGGTTTACTTGGCCAACAGCCAGTGCCTCTGCCTGAAGCATAACAGCCCCAGCAGATGCTCCAGAAACTGTGGTGTCACAAAGCATTCTTTAGAACCTGGGGAAAGGGATGCCTAGGTGGCTCAGCGGCTGGGTGCCTGCCTTTGGCCCAGGGCGTGATCCTGGGGTCCCGGGATTGAGTGCTGAGTTTGGCTTCCTGCAGGGAGCCTGCTTCTCCCTCTGCCTGTGTCTCTGCTTCTTTCTCTGTGTCTCTCATGAATAAATAAAATCTTCAAAAAAAAAAAAAAAAAAAAAAGAACCTGGGACAAGTTGAAGAATCAGACAGGAAAGCCAGTTTATCCTTGGAGTCATGACTACACCCTTGTCAGTCTGCAGGGGAGGAACGTACATTTCCATTAGCCCACAGGAAAGGTATTTTTTTTTTTTACTAGCCCGACATACTGAGGCCAAATGCCTTTGCCTGTGGACTTCTTTGATGACTTGCCTGAGCGAGCAGCATCGATAAAAACTGCCCCACCCAACAAGTGACGCATACGTGTGCGTGCATGTGCGTACACAGACACACATCGACACACACACACACACACACACACACACACACACACACAAACCCACCTCTGAAGGGATACCTGAACCCATTTACCACTGAAGAGTTATTCCAGACCAAATCAAAATGAAAGCATGTTTCAAATTTCAAGGTACTTCTGAATGAATCCCCTTTGGGGGCTGTGAGTCATGGTGCTAAAAGGATATAGGGCGATGACTTTTTGGAGCAGTTCAGTGGAGGAAATGATGATCCGGTGCATGGTCAGCATGACTTGCAACAGTTGGTTACTTCGGCACAGGTTTCCATCTGCATCTGAAAACATAAAAAACAGAATCTGAGCGAGGCCCCTTGAGAGGAATGGGTCACCTGCCCGGATGCCCGACAACCCTCCAGTACTGGAAGGTGGAGGCAGATGGATGGCCCAAGTGGGGCTTCTTTACACAGCGCTTCTCCCACTGCTTTGAGCACCACGCACCCTTCCCTCTCTGGTTCTTACCCTCCTGTTGCATTTTTCCCTTCTCCAAAATGCCCATTTGATGTTCATTGACCCCCTCCCACCTGAAAGATGGTAGATTCTTGGGAAAGGGATAAAACTTGCACCATACACGTGAGTCTCTGTTGAGAGCAAAAGCAGATCCAAGTTTTATGGGGCCTAAAGCGTATATAATTGAGGGGAGAGGTCCTTTCTAGGGTCAGAGTGAAAAATACAGTTGTAACAGATTACAGTTAAATATCTTTTGCAAATCTTATGAGATCACAGGGATAGATTTCTAGGGCTCCCTCATGGCCTTGGAAGGGGCTCTGAAATACAAGCTTTCCTAGTGTTATGGGAGATATGCCGCTGGATGAAAATAAAGGAGGAAGACTATAGGCAACCATGACATGTGGAGGTTACGGCTGGGTTATAAGTATCTGTGATGGTTCATTTAAAAGATCACGGTTGGCCAGGTTTTCCAAATCTCTGCAGGTACCAAAGAGTCAGATGCATTCTACACATGGGTGCCGGGTGTACAGATTTCCTTTGGAGTGGTTTCTAAAATCTTTTTAACACTTACGCCGTGAAGTGTTAGAGGCTGTGTTGGCTATTTGCAGCCAGATCTGTTCTCTTTCCTTCATCGTGGATTGCATAACCCTTGCCAGCCAGCGCCAGTTGGGTTCGGCCATGCAGAAGCATGAACAAGTGATGGCAGGGGAGATGAATCAGGGTACCTCTCTCTCATGCCCTCACTGCTTTGGCACCACGTCCCTGGTAGCAGCTCTAGGTCTCTTCGTTGAATGACAACACTCGCTGGCTTGTCCTCCATGACTCCAGCTCCTACCGAGAGCTAACACTCTTAATCTCACGTGACCCCCAGCCCATGGGTGGGTTGGGGGGAGGCAATGACTTCTATTTGTTGACAGTCTGCGTGCAGCATCTCTTAATTCCACCTTCATCTCTGCAAGCAGCTCCTTCACTCAGGCACTCTCATTTAAGCAAGCCACCTGAATCCTATTCTCTGATGGGAGCTTGAATGACTCAGAGCAAAGTATCAGATGAAGGAATGGACACGCCTTGCTGTAGCATTTCAAAGTTCTTACAAATACATGATGCAGGAGGGGCTGTCATTTTCACTCTCTCCAAGCGCATGTAACGATCAATGATGGGCGCAGTGCAGTGGGCGCAGGATTCGGAACTCCTGGCTCACCCCCAAATGACCTAGGGTCACAGTTCACTGAGAAACTGCACATCAACAGGCAGGACCACTCACCACCCTGCCACCCTGGTGCCACCACTCACCATCCCCCCCAAATCCGGGGATTTACACCCACTCTGTTCCTCTCTCTGCTCGCCCTCCCCATCTCCCCGGGGGCCTTCCAGAGACTGTGGCTTCCACTGTGCACAGAGCCTCCCGCCTTCTCAAGGATGCTGATCCTGCCTCTGTCCACAATCTCTCCTGCATCATCAACGTCCCTCTCTCTCTCCTGCTTTTCTCACCCATGGCATTTACACACAATGAAACAAAGCCTTAGCCTCTCACCAGCCCTAGGACTTCTCCATTTCTCTGTTCTCCTTTTCAGCAGAGCCTCACTGTCACCAATTTCCCACCTCCCATTCATTTTCAAGGTCACCAACCAGCTCTACATCGCCGGATCCAAGAGTTTGTCTCTGGCTTCCTCTGACTTCATGATTCAGGTTGCATCCAACCCAACCCGATCCTAAGTTGACAACCCTCTTTCCTGGAACACTTTCTTCTCTTGGCTTCCATAGCATCACACTGTCTCAGCTTCTCTCTCACACTCTTCTTCTGTCTCCTCTTCCTCTGATGAGTGTTTAAATGTCACCAAGCTCTGTGGCTTAGTCCTCCCACTTCTTTTAAAAATCAATTTTAAAATTTTGAAGCTTCTTAAGTTTGAAATTAAAAAATTTAATTTTTTTTCTGGGGTGAACTCATCTAGTCCTTTGGCTAAAACAACCATCTATTTGCTGATGACTGCTAAACTTACATCTTCAGCATGAGTACCAAATTAACACGTCCAACGTCCTCCTTGGCAAAGCAACACAGGTGTCTAATTTCGAACTAACTCATCCCAACAAAACTCTTGAGCTCTCTCTCCCCATCACCCCAGTCCAGTCCACCTCCATTCTTTCTCATCTCAGGAAATGACACCACCAACCATCCTCAGTTACCCAGACTGAAAACCTAGGAGACATCCTTAATTTCTCACTTTCCCTCACCTCCAATCCATCAGCAAGGTCTTGCTTCTTCTTCTTTTTTTATTTAAATAAATTTATTTTTTATTGGTGTTCAATTTGTCAACATACAGAATAACACCCAGTGCTCATCCCGTCAAGTGCCCACCTCAGTGCCCGCCACCCAGTCACCCCCACCCCCCCCCACCTCCCCTTCTACCACCCCTAGTTCATTCCCCAGAGTTAGGAGTCTTTCATGTTCTGTCTCCCTTTCTGATATTTCCCACTCATTTTTTCTCCTTTCTCCTTTATTCCCTTTCACTATTATTTATATTCCCCAAATGAATGAGACCATATAATGTTTGTCCTTCTCCGATTGACTTATTTCACTCAGCATAGTACCCTCCAATTCCATCCACGTCGAAGCAAATGGTGGGTATTTGTCGTTTCTAATGGCTGAGTAATATTCCATCGTATACATAAACCACATCTTCTTTATCCATTCATCTTTCGATGGACACCGAGGCTCCTTCCGCAGTTTGGCTATTGTGGACATTGCTGCTATAAACATTGGGGTGCAGGTGTCCCGGCATTTCATTGCATCTGTATCTTTGGGGTAAATCCCCAGCAGTGCAAGGTCTTGATTCTACTTAAAAAATGTATCTCAAACCTGTCCATTTCTCTCCATCCTTGCCATTACACATACTAGTCGTAGCCAGCACCATGATGCAGTAACCCCAAAGACCCCCTGCGTCCACTCCTGTCCACTCTCCACACAGAAGCTAGGAGTCAGCCTGTATATCAGGTCACGTGCTTCATACACGTTAATGGATTCCATTACACTTGTAATAAAATACAAAATCCTTGCTGCGGCCAGCGGAGCTCCACATGTTCTGGCTCCTTCTAATATCTCACACTTTATTTCCTACCACATTGCTCCTCTTCAGACCTCTATTTATTTATACCTCAGACCCTCCAAGTTTATTCCCAACTCACAGACTTTGCGTTTGATATTTCCTACAGTGTGGTCTTTCTGCCCTTGGCCTCTTCATGTCATTCCCATCTCAGTTTCAATGTCACATCCTCGGAGAGGTCTTCCTTAAACTACCTAAGGTTAAGGTTATATATACCTTAGGTATATACCCTTCCTAAGGTTCTTGGTATTTGATATTGATTCTTAGAGTTTGATATTGATTTTTCACTGATGATATACATTAATACACATACTGTTTTCTTCTTGGCCAACACAAAAGAAACTCAAGGTTACAACTTGAGAAATCATTTTTATGAAGTATTCAGCTAGGCTGGTTACTGTTCCCTTAATCTTTACAAGATTTTTATTTATTTATTTGAGAGAGAGAGAGGGAGAGAGTAAGCATGAGCAGTGGAGAGGGCAGAGGGAAAAGCAGACTCCCCACTGAGCGGGGAGCCCATGTGGAGCTTGATCCCAGGACCCTGATATCATGACCTGAGCCAAAGGCAGGTGCTTAACTGACTGAGCCACCTAGGCACCCCAGTTTTTTAATCTTTCATGACTTCTCAACTTAGTGAAGCAGGGTCCATATCATGTTGGGTATTTGCACCATAAGCATCTTTGCCACAAGCTTTTTCACCACATAACTAAGAGGCGGTACATCACTTTTGACATAAAAGATAAAAGAACACCTGGTTCAGTTTGGCTTCATGTCTCCCTGGTGCAGTACCTTTATTTTTATGGGATATGAATCTTAGCCCTCACGATGGTCTACAGAGTGGCACTGAATTTTGAACCCATGTTTCCCACAGAACTTGGAGTGTCCGTTAGTGGATGTGTGACAATATGCCAAGAACAAATGCTGTTCTCACAATGCGATACAGAGCTCTGTTACAAATATGAATCTTAGTGTTTGGATACTTCTCTTAATGAAGGAGGAAATTGGAAATTTTAGCATGGAGACAATTCCATAAGCAAAAAAAAAAAAAAAAAAAAAAAGTAACAGCATGAAGGACTGAAGACTGTGCTTAGCTATAATACACAAAATCCACTCAATTGTTGCACAGTTCTACAACTGCACATTTTAAAGGTACTCAAACATGTTGTATTTTGCAATAAAAGCTTTTTAATTTTGGTATTCATTTTTCATATGTCCTTATGTCCTTTTTAGTGAACATCCCCTTTTTTGTTTTGTTTTTTTTTTTTTGTGTGTGTGTATGATCTTATTTTTTATAGCCAAAGTGTTTTTCCCCTGATGAGTGACGCAGCGAAAATGCTTGTAGGAAAATGCTTACTGCACAGGTGGTGGTGTTGAAATTGGTTGGCACTGGTTAGTGTCGCGCTTCCTCTGTTTCCTGGCCCAATTTCTGTAATAGTTACCTCTTGCCACGAAAATTCCGCGTAACAAACCACCCCAAAACTCAATGACTTAAAAGGGTACTCAATTATTTTTGTCTCCCAAGTGTCTGTGAACTGGCTGCCAGGTCAGCTAAGACTAGACTTCGCTGGGGCCTTGGACACGTGCCCCGCCACCCCCCCCTCCCCCCGGCTGCCTTGGTTGAGGTATATTCTTTCCAGGTGATGGCCAAAGGGCAACTAGAAATACTGAAGGCCTCTGAAGCCTGGGCTTGGAACTGGCATGCTGACACTTCCGTCTTGTTCTGCTGC